ACTGGTTTTAGCGCCTATCATTTTCTGGCCCCACAGCTGGACACAAGGCTTTGAGAATTGCATTAGTGCCATTTCATCAGTTCACCACGAGAAGCTTTAAAACCTGATTGAAATGTTCAGGGTTTTTTTATAGTTAGATGCTCACATATTTGATCCAAATCTATTTTATTATGGAGTGGGGATAATTAAGTAAACATCAGAGGTCTGTAATTCATGAGCACTTTTGAATTGAAGGTGAAGATTTTCTTGATAAAATGTTACAGTAACCTTAAAAGCTTGTGGAGCATATCTGTTTTTTTAAGGATAGGGTGTAAGTTGCCCAAGTCTCCCAAAAATGTTGCAAGACCCTCTCAGAAAGATTAAGATTACGACAACTTGTGTATTGTCAAATGGTTTGAATTCCCAAGTTTGAAGTGTTATTTCAAAGGAAATGTCTGCTTAAGAAAACAAATCTCTTGTTTCATCCCTTTACAGGTAAATCTGCCCAGAGCGCTGGTGATAGCCATCTCTCTGGTCACTGGCATGTATCTGCTGGTGAATGTTAGCTATCTGACGGTGATGACGCCTAGAGAGCTCATGTCCTCCACCGCTGTAGCCGTCACCTGGGGGTAAGGGCAGCTTTGTTTTAGAGTTTTTAAATCTGAAAGAAATTCCAGTTTAATCAGGTTTATCTATCAGGAATAAGGTGTTGGGAAGTTGGGGTTGGATCATGTCGCTGGCTGCAGCCCTGTCTGCCTTTGGTTCCTTAAACGGGACATTCTTCAGTGGGGGCCGAGTGTGCTTCGTGGCTGCCAGGGAGGGCCACATGGTAAACTTTTCTTTTCTGTTTTATCAAAACAAATAAAGCTGTTTAAAAATACAGCTGGTCGCCCATATTTATATGGATTCCTGTTTGCTGTACAGCCAGATATTCTCTCCATGGCTCACGTCCACCGGCTGACTCCCTCTCCGGCTCTCATCTTCACAACTATTATCTCCTTGGTTGTACTGATCCCCGGAGACTTTCAGAGTATCGTCAACTACTTTAGGTGAACTTGACCTCCTTTTTTGTTTGATCAAATAAAAACTGCTTTTATTGTATCTAAAACAGCCCCTCTTGGTCTTTTCAGTTTCACAGCCTGGTTTTTCTATGGTGTCACGCTGTCTGGACTGATTTATCTCAAAATAAAGAAACCAGAGCTCCCCAGACCATACAGCGTTAGTGTCACATCCAGTTAATCTCACATTTCTAATAATTCAAAACAGTTTGATACAATACCTCTCTCTTACTTTCTTCACAGGTTCCCATTGTGCTCCCTATACTAGTCCTGCTGGTGGCAATTTTCCTAGTTCTGGCCCCCATCATAGATCAACCTCAGATTGAATACCTTTATGTGGCTTTATTCATTCTAAGCGGTGCAATAATCTATGTACCGTTTATACATTTCAAGCTTTGCCCTGGAGTTTTTAAGAAGGTGACAACATTCCTGCAGCTGTTTTTGGAGGTCGCTCCTGCAGAAAAAAACCTGTGATTTAAGCCGCTGAATGAATCCATAAAAGAAGCCAATTATGATGTTTTTTTATCCTATTGCATTTATTTAATTATGTATGTACAAAATATATTGTATTCTAAATAAAATTTCCAGTAGAAAAATGTAAAATCTCTGAAAATCAGATGTATTCTTTTACCGCACATATAGACGTGCTGGAATGATTTGTTTGAAATCTCAGCAGCTGCTCAGTTTCAAAAATAAATACTTAATTAATAAACTTCAATAAAAGTGAATAATACTTGATTAAACCCATTGGGAAATGAAATGTTGCAGTTACCTTTACAGTTCTTTCTAGGTTTTCAATCAGATTTAATAGGTGTTGTAAGCTGGAAGGATCTTCTGTAGTGGTCTGTCTTGCACCAGATCTTAGATGCCTCTCAATGAAGAGGATGCATACTGTCACACATCATGTTAACTTTACAATGAATTTATAAGATGGCTTCTCTCAGTATTTTGGTAGAAAAGTTAAAGTTCTCTGTCCATTTTCAGACAGTGATTGTTAATCACTAATTGGTTTTCTGGACACTTATATGTATTTATCGAGTCTTTGCAGTATACTTCAGTCTTCATCACAGTTGTGTTGGTTTTGAAAACCCCATACAAAAATAAAATCAAGCTAATCGATCAGGAAAGGTGTTAGTTGAAGGAACATATAGCATTAAAGGTAAATTGTGTAATATTTCTATTTAAAGGTACACCGCAGACTTGTGACCTAAATAGTTGATGCATAGGAGTTATTCTAAATGACTCCTCAGGCCGGTATACAGTGCTTGACACTATCAATGCTAAAGGTGGGGCTCCCCTCTTCAAATACCAGCTAGTATTTGCTGGTTGGTATTTGCTCCTAGTATACAGTCATGTATCTTTGTTATGATTCTCGATATTCAGTGGAAGCAAAATACGGCCAGTTACAGGTCAAGCGCCACACAGTGTGCATTTAAGTACAAAAAAGTGAAAAAGCCCATCAATCGTTGGCGCTCCATTTTCTGGGACATGATTAACAGTAAAAACTTGAACTTTGTTCTTCTTTTTACCAGTGCTTACTTTGATATTTCATACCTTTTAATCATGCTTAATAGAAATATTCAAAAACATTTTGCTTCTTATTTCATGTCTACAGTTGCAACAAATGTTTTCAGCTAGTTTCTCCAAATGTTACTTTTGTGTAAAAGCATTATTAAGCATCACTAGAGCAATTTTCTTACTGCTCTTCCCACTGTTTTATTTTTCATACACCAGTGTACTCTCCATCTGCTGAGCCTTATGTGACATTTGGAAGTACAGATTACAGTAAATATTGTCACTACAGGTACTTTACACTGTTCTAATATGTATAGACCTACAAATACACAGTGTATCCCCCTCTGTTAACCCATTATGTCTTGATGTGTAACCAATTAATACATTTAAATCCTAAAACACTTAAAGGAAGATTTTTTTAAGTTTATAAATGCGGCACAGATACTGCGTTTCCACATAAGGAGTCTAGTTATGTCACAGCTTATTCCAAAAGTTGCCCCCAAAATCCTTTTTTTTTTTTTTATAACTTTATTTTTATTTTAATCATTATTAACAAACAATACATAGAAACTATAATAGACAAAAAGTACAGAACAATCGAAGCAAAAAAAAAAAAAAAAAAAAAACAGGGGGAGACTCATATTTTAGTAACTCAAAACACGTGGGGACCATCCATTTCCAAAATTAGTCCGGTATCGTTGATGTGAAGTTTGTCCATTTTTCCCATTTGTCTAAGCATTGCTGCTCCTGCGTCCTCAGCCTATGTGTTAGAAGCTCCATCTCAAATAATGAAATCACAGTCTGTATCCACTCCTTTGTGGTAGGAGGTTCAGATTTGCACCACCTCCTGGTTATCACCTTTTTAGCTGCCACCAACAGAATTTTTAACAAATAACAATCATTATTAAATATGATATTGTCCAAAAGACCAAGGTATAATACCAGACCGGACTTGGGTATTGGGTAACCCAGTATTGTTACAATCTTACTGTGTATTTCGTTCCAGAACTGAGTAATTTTAGGACAAAGCCAGAAAATATGCGCATGATTAACATTAAATTCTCCACAATCTCTCCAGCATGGCTGAGCTCTAGATTTGAATTTACTAGTAATTTTGGGTGTTATATAAAATCTGATTATATTCTTCCAACAATGTTCTCTCCAGATTCTGGAAGAGGATGTTGTAGTTTGGGTCTTCCAAATATTCAGCCAGCCTTCGTCGGTTATTAGAATATCAAATTCCCTTTCCCATTTTGTTTTAATATTCAATGTATTAGTGCCTCTATTTTCTAACAGATATTTATAGAGTAAAGACACTGTTCTTTGTTTTTTACCCTTATAGGTCTCAATCAGCATTTTGATAATCCCATTTAAATTTGGGTCTATTTTTTGTTTTATTTCTTTGTTATAGAAGTCCCTTAATTGTAGATATCTAAAGTGATCTTGAGTTCTTAGAGCAAACTCTTGCTGTAGTTCCTGGAAACTTTTAAAGTGCCCATTGTTAAGGACTACGCATAACGCTGTTAAGCCTCTTTCTGACCATTGTTTAAATCGTGTGTCTTGGATAAAATATTTATTATAGGCTGGCCACTGGATCAGACCCAACTGTTTCTCTAATTTGCATATTCGGATTATATGTAACCATTTACCCAGAGAAAAACTAGTAATGGCATTAACATTCTTTAATGTATTCTTAGTGGCCTCTATATCACCAATGATACTCCGCAGTTCTCTTCCGTTAACTCTTTGTTCAATATTTTTCCATTTCGCTTCATAATTTATGTCACTTATATTTATTATGGGAGTTATTTGGGCAGCATAATAATATTTTCTAAGGTCAGGTAAGGCCCTACCTCCTTTCTCCTTTGGTATATGTAAAGTTTCAAATTTTATTCTGGGTTTTTTACCGTTCCATATGAATCTAGAAATAATCTGGTTCCATGTTTTAAACTGTCTATCCGGGATTTCTATAGGTAATGCCAAGAAGAGGTACAATAACCTTGGTAACATGTTCATTTTTATCGCTTCAATTCTGTAGCTGAAGTCTAGTGTTAGGACATCCCACTTTCTAATATCCCTCCTAATTTCTTGGTCCACTTTAGTAAAGTTAGCTTTGTACAGATCACCTATGTTTTTCGTTAATCGTATTCCTAGGTAAGTCATCATAGTAGAGCTCCAATTTAAATTATATTTTCTACGTATTGATTCAGCCCCCAAAATCCTGAATTATTTTTGAAGAACCATGTTGATTTATAAGGATTGGCTTTAAAACAACCCAGTTTAGGTGCAGTTTCGGCTGCATCTATGGGTTTTCTCACAGGGATGATAAAAGTATTTTAACTGATGGATTCAGTCGTGCTGATTTTCAGTCAGAACTCTCAAAGATTCTTCTTAAAAAAAGAAAAAAAAAAGTTTCCAGCTCGCTCGAATCAAACACTGATGAAGCTGTGGAATTTGAAAATGTTTAATAACCAATTAATAAAGAGAATATGATCAGGACAAATGAGTTTACAATAACCATTTTCCAGCTTATATGCAACCTTGATTTGCATTTGTGCTTAGTCACTTGAAAATAAAAAAAAACAAGTGAAAGGTTTAAGAACAAGCACTTTTCTACGCCAACTTAACAGTTCTTAACACTGGCTGGATCCAAACACAATGAAGTTGTCTTTTCTGACATCAGTCCTCTCTGCTTTTCTTCTTTGATCTGTTTGACTCCAAATTGTCCTCACCGCTCTCTCTCCGTGTCTCACCTCTGTCCCCTTGTGTTGTCTGGTGATAAAGGGAGTGAAGCCGTTCTGCATTCACGTCAGCGTCCTCCGCTCCTTCACAGCACCTCATCCACGACTGAGGAACGGCCTCGATGCCATAGTGGGCCCCGGCGATGGCCCCGGCCATGCATGCTATGGTGTCTGTGTCACCTCCCAGGGCCAAACTGTATGCTATTGTCCTCTCCAGGCCACCATATTTCTCTGGAAGGTAATCCTTTGGCTGAAGGCAGTGGAGGACACAGAAGATAGCAGTGGGGACAGAGTGTAGCGCTGCAATGCCATTTCCTGGAGGTAAAACAGGGAAAAGTCTCGTACCATGTCTTTTGGTTGTGCTGTTCTTTTTACATCTCGTTGCAGGTGATGAAGCAGACTGAAAATGTTTTATCATTATCTCCTATTTATCATTCTATCTCCTATTTCTTTAATCATTTCTCTCTTTTTTTCTCTTCTTCTGTTTTTCCTCTTCTGTTCTACCTACATTGCAGTGTCCATATAATCTGTAAAACTCTCTGCATAATTATAATAAAGCAATTTATATGCATGAAATAAGCGGAACACTGTGGCGACAGCCCTACTGCTCCACTTGTAAAGGTGAAATCTGTTGGGCTCTTTTTTGCATCAAGACAATTATTCTTATTGCCAGAGAGGACACTGTAAAAAATAAAAAATAAAAAAAATAAAATAAAACAGGGAAAAGAAAAAGTTCAAAATCACTACCACTAGTGCCAATAATGCCGTAAAAACTCAAAAATATATACATATTTTGGATAGGGAGTGGCAGCCTAGGGGTTAGGGGGCATAGAGCTTGGAATCCTGAGGTTCTGAGTTTGAGCCCCATTCCCACAGACTGCCACCCTGGCTCCCTGAGCAAGACCTTTAACCCCACACTGCTCACCGGGAGCCCCACGATGGCAGCCCACTGCTCCCCAAGAGGATGGGCTAAATGCAGAGGTAAATTTCTCCAATGTGAGATTAATAAAATTCAATGGGGAATGTTGGCCTATGGGTTAGAGCAGTGTGCTTGTGCTTCTGAGAAGGTTGCAAGTACCTGGTTCGATCCCCACAACCTGAACTCTGGGTCTCTGAGCAAGACCCTTAACCCCACACTGGTCCCCTAGCTGCACAGTGGCAGCCCACTGCTCCCCAAAGGGATGGGTTAAATGCAGAGAGTTAAGTTCTCCATTGTGAGATTAATAAAGTTTTTTATCTTATATAATATATAAACTTAAGCCCTGCAGGTATTTTTCACAACCGATCCTGCCCGCATCCTCCATTTTAATTTATGCACTGCGCTGTAACATTCCATAGATCTAATTTCCTGCATATTTTAACTGCAGGTGAACAATAATCTTTCCACCTTTAATCTCAAATTCTCACGTAAACTGAGGCCAACCATAATAGATATCTGCCCAATACAAAAACAACGACAAATAAGAAAAATCTTTGAAAATATATCGGCAAAACGAATGAAACCGTAGAGAAAATTTTGAGAACAAAGGTCTAAATTTGAAATTGCTAAATAAACAAAGGGTCAGAATATAACAATAAAAAATAACACAATGAAAGTGGGACAGGTGAAGAAAAACATTGCTGGGAGACTCTGGTCTCCTATCATCACTGGTACCAAATTGGGATCAGCTGTCAATGTTAAACTGGCCCCTCTCATCTGCACTGAGCTTGGCTGGGTCGCACCAGATTCCATTCTCATTGCAGGGCTCAATCATGAACCTCTGATATTTCTTTTAATTGCTTAAAAAAAATAATAAAAAAATTGCATTTTTAATGTTGCAGAACATCGACCTTTTAGCTAAGGAGCTTACGTAAACTACAATCTCCTTTGAAAAAAAAACTACCACTGTTAAAGTGTAATTATGTTGATTTTTACTGTTTGTTTTACTATGACATAGAATTTCACAGTTCTATCAATATGTTAAAAGACTCTCAGAATGGTTTATTAATTGATTTATTTCTACCAGGCCCCCCAGATGTAAATGAAAACTTGTGAGCTTTACTGACCGAGTTCAGAGATGACTTCCTCTATACTGACTTTACTTCTGTCCATCAGGTCTCTGACTTTGTGGAGACGCTCACAGAATGGCTTTTCTGCTTCTTTTAGTCTGCAAAAAACAAAACAAATAAAAATCAGAAAACTGCTGAAAATAAACGACCATTCTCTTTTTAATCTGACGTCTAAAACCAGCTGTGATTGGTTTGTTCTGCAGGAGCCATAAAAAGTTGAATTCATCCACAACTCACATTCTGGCATCACGAAGTGCCTCCTCCTCACCCTCCACTTCTTCCATCTCAGAGATCAGCTTGCTTATGAACTGCCGAGGTACATTTAGCGCTCCCTGCAGTGAGAGATGAACGGCCAGCGCTTGCAGGACAGCTCCATTGTAACCCAGAGAGCAGGAGTGTGTGAGCATGGCACCCAGACGAGCAAACTGAGAGGGAACAAAAAGATAAACATTTGGGTGATGATGTGGGTCTTTGTTTTTCACATCGTGAGGTCACCACTCACCCGTTTAACTTCAACCAAGTCAGGAAAAGCCAAGGCGAAGGGGGCGGCTCTCATCGCCCCGCCGTTTCCAAATGAGCCCCGACCGTTGAACTGATCCCTCGCTGGTTGGAAGACGTCGGCGAGCTGAGGGGAGGCAAGCTTCTTCAACACCTGGATCACTCCAGAACCATAACCACGGCCCGGCGAGGCGCTGTACTCCTTCGCAAACCTACAGGGATGAAAGATGGGTGTTCTGATATAAGCCTTGATATAATTATAAATATTTATAAATCCTGATAAAGCCTTGAAATCACCAGTCAAGTTGGAGATGGTGTCATTTTACCTGCGGGCCAAGTCCTGCTCATCAAACCCCGACCGGTTCAGAAGAGACTGGACCACACAACGCGTCATCGCCGTGTCGTCGCTGTATTCAAGGATGCCTTCCAAATACAGATTAAACATTTTACTCATCTGGATACTTATGAACTCCAACTAACTTGCCTCCCTCTACTCTAGATCAGTACAGGACAGACTCCAACTACTTTGTGTAATTTTGCAGTAATACACCTGAAAAATAATTTAAAATCCTATCTGGGGTTCCTCAAGGCCCTAATTTCAGGCCACTTTTATTCAACGTGCAAAATTTCAATAATACACATATATATATAAAAAAAATGGTGTTACCTTATTTTACAAGTTTAAAAATCTCCTCTTGACAAATCAACAAAAAGATAGATAGCATGCAGGAACTGGCAAAGGTGCCCATACTCCTTGAACTTTTTCACACTACTACAACTACAATGTATTTGATACTATTAAACCAGTAATGTGAATTGTGACTGAGTGGAGGAAATAACATATTTTTTTTTACAAATAAGTGTTTGCATATTATTGCTTCCCTACTGAGTGACCAACGGATTAAACCAGATGCTAGTTAAGAGTGTAGAAAACTCCTCTTTGTACAAAAATTACAGTCAAACTGGATGGAAAGAAGTGGTGGATATAAATACTTATTCTTTCCATAGATTCTAAAATTAGATCTATACTTCCCCACTGTAGCTGTTAGGGGTGTAAATCCAACCCATCATGGCGATTCCATTCAGTATCAATTTCCTGACCCAACGATCAAGAATACATCATCTTCTTTTTCCTCCACCACGTCTCTCTTGCCTCCCGTTTACGCGAGTGAGTGTGTGCAAGCAGAAAGTAGCGGCTAAAGGAAGCGAGGTAGGAGGGTAAAATAGGTTTCGCGCTACAGGGGTCAGAATTACGTCCAGGAAAATGGGTAAAAATAAGCCGGAGAAAAAAAAAGCACGGATCGATACTCTTGCATCGGATTGTCGACTGTTGCATCGATACAAAACGATAATTATTTTCACCCCTAATAGCTGTGGTTGAATTTTTAGGATTATCCTGCTGGAAAGTAAACCCAAGACTATTGCAGCCTCCAACATGTTTCCTTCCACAACTATCCTGCAGTGATAGTTTATTACGGATCTTAACTTCCAATCATCTTAAACTTTGCATGGGTCAATAAAAAAATTATATATATTAGGGTTTGCAGTTTTAATACCATAAAATTTAAGCATATCTTAAATCAGACTGAATACTTTCATAAAGCACTGTGGTAATATATTTAAAAAGCAACATACATTTAAATAATGAAATAACTCAGATTGGTTCCATATTTAGAAAAGGAGAAAATTTAAAATCCGGTTTTTAAATCTACTCCTGTTAAAGGCTGAAGTAGTTTCCATGATCCTAAACATAGGAACAGATTCACCTGAAATGATCAAATGGGGATTCTGATTCTGAATCAGGATTTCCTTTTAAATGAGTGAAACACATAAAAAGCAATGATTGCAGGAAACAATTCAATAGTAGTAGAAATCCCCACTGCTGCATCAAAAAATGATGCATCAATCATTTTATGATTTATTTTCTCTGCAAATTTTAATGTTGTAATGATCATTATTACTGGAATGAAATCTGACAAGGAAAATTTGGTTGCATCTCAACCCAATGGGAACACATTGTGACAGAAGGCTGATATTCAATGCATCTAGATGCAAATTATACTTAAATGGATGAAAAGCCTACAGTTCCCTTTGGTTTCATCTTCCAGGCCGCTGAGATGCTGCAGCACGCTCTCCATCGGAACCTCCTCCGCTCCTTCAAACTCTCCACCGACGCAGTCTCCGAGCACAGCCGCTACCAGAGCCCCTCTGAAGCGGGACAAAGAGGCCGGGCCTCCCGCTGCCGAGGCCGCCGCTCTCACCGCCGTCATTGCCATTCATCCGCCGGAGAAGCGACTCCACTCCTCTGTTTGCCGCTAGACTGAGGGCGACAACAACAAATGTCCTTCCTGGACTGGTTAAGTTCCCGGTGAAAGGTTCTGACAGTCTAGCATAGAAACTGTCAACCTAGAATTCGTTTCGAGTAATAATTACCATAGAGCAGCTTCTTGTACGCATGTGTCTAAGCGATAAAAATACCACCTATTACCAAGCACTATCTAATATGTGCGCACGAAAACTTGTGTTATTTTATTTTGATTTTTTTTCTAGTGATCTTCCAGAAACTGATATCTTTGTTTGTACTGCGCTTTCAGACGCAAAATGTAGAAGACAGCTTTTCTTCTGACCGTATTTTGAGGTATGTTCATTCTAGTTGGAAACTGTTATACTTAGTTTTTCTAAATTCCCCCAAATGGCAGATTTTTTTTTCCTTTTAGAAATGTAATATTTATAAAAGGACAAGATTTCTTCATTTTGTTAAGGAGGCGGAACTATATTTTAAACCAATAACGAAAATTCTTCATGACGGATTATGTATATGTATATATATATATATATATATATATATATATATATATATATGTGTATATTATATATATATATATATATATATATATATATATATATATATATATATATATATATATATATATATATATATATATATATATATATATATATATATATATATATATATATATGGTATACTAGTAGCTATTATATCCACATTGTGTTTGTAAAACATCTATTTTCACAGATGTCCATACAGTACATTTACACACAAACATTGCACTGAAGTGAAAACTTATCTGCATTGGAACATAAGCCTACCTTGTAAACGCATAAAAAGATCATAAAATATTTTACAAAAACTTTTGAAATGTTTGAAATTGTTAGAATAGCCTACATAAACAGATTTGGTCAATTGTTTGTTGGAGTTTCCAAAATATCTCAAGCAGGTTTAGTTAATTTTTCTGTATTTGATCAGAGTGGTTGTTCATCTCAAACAATGCTTTAAGATTTACAGCAGTCCAATTTGGGCTTCAGGGCAGTATGTAGCTAGCCTGGGTGTCATTCCGAACTTAGTCCCACCCACAACGTCTAAGGTCGGGAAGTTCGGTCTGGCATTGCTCAAAAGTATAGCGCAAGTATGCTCGCACAATATCTTCTTATTATAGGCGTGCAACTGCACGCTTTGATTTTTGTTGACAACAACTATGCGTCGCTTAACATACGTCACGCACTCCGTTGCTCTTATTGGTTGTAGATCTATCCAATTGAGTGCAGAGGCTTTTTTTTCCTGGTTCGTTCGAAACACGCCCCATAATCACAGCTCTATGGAGCAGTATCAGACTCATATTCTGACTAGAATTGAGTAGGACTACGTCAGGCTAGTAGTATGTAGCATCACATAGCACAAGCTGTGTGGCTCTCCTGGGTATAAATGCCATTTGTCAGTGCTACAGGGATGTGGTTCCCATCGGCGTCGCCAGACCCCATTTACTGGGGCACGTGCCCCAGTATAAATGAGCTGTGCCCCAGTATAAATCTCATGAATATTTGCAACAGTGATACATTTTTTTAATGCATCAATTTAGATAATTCCAACGGGAGGAGACGTATATTTCTACTCAAACCCCACAGCTGGCAAATGCTCTGAGCCTTGCCATCCACTCCCCATCTCCCATACCTTCATTGCTCTTTGGTCATTCTTTGCCTCCCATTTTGCTTTAAGAAATTCTAGGAACCACTGGAGAAGAGAGTGTTTGGAACACCAGAAACAATCAGATCTCTAATATAAGTTGGAGCTTGGTTGTTTATGGCTTTATAGGTGAGAAGGGGGATTTTGAATTCTATTCTTGTCATGATTCCTGGCATGAGTGCTGGTTTGATTCAGGATTCAACACACCTGTAAGCTCTGCTCAGCCTCCATCAGATTTTCCCTCTTAACTAACTGTATAACCAGCTCTCAGACCAGTGACTAGTGCCAGATTATTACAAGTATTTCTGTAAACCTGCCTGCCTGCCTGACCCCTTGTCTTAGTGTCTTTTGGATCTCTGACCTGTATTCTGTGTTGCAATTGCTGATTCTGGTGAATCTCTCCCAACCAGCGCCAGTTTCATTCCAATAAACTGTTTAAACGTCTCTTGCTCCGGTTAAATCTTGGTCTTCCATTATCTGGTCATTGTAATTCTGGATTTAACAGGAAGCCATTAAAAGGAAGCTAAAAATGGAGGAATATGTACAAATTTTAAGGTTTTTATCAGAACTATAGCTGCAAAAGGAACAAATATAAAAGTCATTGAATGCAAGTGAATTTTATTAAAGATTAAAATTAAGCTTTGGTCTCAGATAAGGAAAAGCATAACAGGAAGTGAAGCCTCCACTATGGTAGGTTTTTCTTCTCTTGTGTCAATTTCCAGATGATGTTGCACAGATTTCAATGGTCTGAAGCTTTTTCCACACCTCCTGCACATGTGGGGACTCTGGTGTGGATATGTAGATGACTTTTCAGAGAAGATCTATGACCAAAGCTTTTCCCACACTGATGGCAGACGAAAGGCTTTTCGCCGGTGTGAATGGGTAGATGGCAATTCAAATCTCCTTTCTGGCGGAATTGCTTTCCACACTGATGGCAGGCGAAAGGCTTTTCGCCGGTGTGAATGAGTAGATGGTAATTCAGATGTTCTTTCGTGCAAAATTGCTTCCCACACAGATGGCAGAGGAAAGGCTTTTCGCCGGTGTGAATGGCGAGATGGTAATTCAAATGTCCTTTCTGGCGGAACTGCTTCCCACACTGATGGCAGACGAAAGGCTTTTCGCCGGTGTGGATAAGCAGGTGTCTTTTCAAATTATGAAATCTCTTAAAACCTTTTCCACAGTGGTCACAGCGATGTACTGATTCCTCAGAGATATTCAGCTGTTCCAGGTCTCTGTTTTCCACATGCTGCTGAACTTCACAAAATTGTTCCACATTACTGATATCCATCTGTAAGAGAACAAAAACGAAAAATCCATCAATTATTTGGCACCACTGAATAAAGTGTAAACCCTTTTTGATGCCTAATGTGGACCAAAATTATGGTTCTTCATAAGAAAAGTTTCAACTCAGAATTACTTACTGGAGCTTGAGACATTTCTTGGATGTGTATGTCAGTGTTTTCTCTTTGTTTTTTGACTATCCTGCTTAAAGAAGAACAATTTAGTTATTACATACCTTATACATGATAAAGTCAACACATTATCTTCAATTTACAACTGTACAAGTACACAAAGAGCAGTTAATAAGTTATTACACAAATAAACATATCATGAAAACCCACAGTTAGTTGTTATTTATAATAAATGTTTTTAATTAGTTTAATTTCCTCTACCTTGTGGTTCCCTAATTAAATATTTATAGCATCAGTCTCAAAAGAGAGAGTTTTCTTACCTTTAATGCTGTGAAGTTGACTGCTTGCCTGCTAACTGTCTTTCTACGAATCAGAGATCTACACTTTTAAAAAATGCTTATTTTTTTAGTGTAAACAAGTGTTAAAAACAATCTGAAAAGTCCAGTATTTATTCAAAAGAAAATAAAAATAGATAGCATTGCATGTCCTCATACATTCTGGATATCCCACCTCATGACAGTGCACTGCCATTACAGAAGAGATAAACAACTGCATAGTAACGACCAGTGGTGGGCTGCGAGGGCCTTCAAAGCCTTCTCTGCTGGCCTAAAATCAATCAGAAACACTAACATAGATTCTCAACCTAAACTTTAATTTTCTTCTTTCCAGCTCTATCAATTTATTCAAAAAACAATTAATTCTCTTAATTTTGTAACGTTTCTCTTGATTACTGAGCTGCTTCTTTTACATTTATGTGGTCTCTATATTTTTTGTCCAATCGGATTTCAGCCTTAGTGCATTGCTATGTAAATCAAATCTGCCCAGGACCTTCAGAATCAGCAGTACTGGCTGATGTTAGCTAACAATATTAGTGAGGAGCATTTTCTTCAACCAATAATATTTCCGATTTGGGGGCAGCTAGAGGGCCCACACATTTGTTAGCATTTTCTGTCCTCTGATTGGTCAGTTAGAGCAAAATATTTACAGCCAAGTTAAGCTAACGACAATCTGCATTTTAGATTTGCTCTTGTTAAAAGTTCTTCTGATCCTTAATGGAGATACAAAGACTTCCTGCACAAAGACAGGAAGAAGGATTTTGTTTGTAAATTATCAGCACCTTTTGTGAGTGTTATATATATTTTATTTTAACACTTAATCTCCATTTTACCTGGTAATTAGATGCATATTGAATTTGAAAGGCTCCCGATGGTGTAAATGTGTCAGAGCTGTGGTTATGAGGTAGAGGATTGCGGTTCTCTTAACTGGGCTTCTTGTTTAATTGATCTTAGCGTTCTCGCTCACACTAATCTTTGTCTCAGTTATACCTGCGCTTGTTGCATTTCATATTTGAATACTATTGATCGTTTCTTTTGTTAAAATGTGAAAGTGGTGATATTAACCCCTTGACACCCATCATTGCACATTGACATCCAAATATATATATATATATATATATATATATATATATATATATATATATATATATATATATATATATATATATATATATATATATAGAGAGAGAGAGAGAGAGAGAGAGAGAGGTGGGCATAGATACATTTTTCAAATTCTAGATTAATCTCACTGTTACCTTAGAATTAATCTAGATTAAAATGGGTCATTTGTTTTCTGCCAAAGGGTTTCATTAATCAGAATCAGAATTACTCTATTTACTTTAATAATCCCTTGTGGGAAGAAAAGGAATTAAATAAGGATAAGAATAAAATAAGATAAGGGTAAGAATAAAATATGATAAGGATGTTATGTGTGTGCTACCTAAATAATAAGGGAAAGTAAGTCTTTGAACAGGTTTCTCTAATCAGATGGTGCATTAGACCAGGAGCTCATTTCCTGTTTCCAAAGTGCATCACATAATACCACTGAACCAACATTTTCATAAAGCGTCCCACTGCAGCAAGAGCAGCAAAATTACGTCTGCTGCTTCATTTTTGCTGCAGAAGACGCGATTTTGCTGCGCCTGCTGCGTCCAGTGTGAACGTAGCATAAGAGTAAAATCTGTACTGGCATATTTAGAATTCTAAGAAAGGGTTGTTTATTTAATGGTATGCGAGTTTGTTTGTTTTTTGTTTTGTTTTATTATTCTTAATTTAAAATTTTGCCAGTCGTTCACACACCTTTCCAGTAGGTGGCGGTAATTTACCTTTAGAGTTGTTTGCCAATCGCCAATAAACCAGAGAAGAAAGGAGAGGAAGCCTGCATTCAAGTTGCATTTGGGGTGTGTTGGAAAAACGGAATACCTTAAATGAACCAAGTTACCCTGTAGACCCAGAGACTGGTTTCAGGAAACTCCGAGCTCCCGTAATTAGACATTTTAGTAAATATTTTGTCAGTTTAAATACAAGAAAGGTATTATTTACTTATATACACCGTCAGGGGTTAAAAAAACAAGGAGCACTTCATCTGAGCGTTACGGTAAAGCTTTTTTGTTGTTCAAGAACTTGTTAATACAATAAATAAATACAGCATCTGTGTTGCTTTATGGACTACCATGTTGCTTATATGAAAAAAATTAAACTAGGTAATTTGGATCAAGTGTAGCATCTTTATTGGCGCTCCGTTTGACGCTCCATTGAAAAGGAGGAGGAGGGCATCTGGAAGCGCGGTGTCTGCAGCATAATTAAAACATGGCGGACTCGGAGGAATTTAGACTTAAACGTTTAAAGGTAAGAAACTAGAAACGAAGACGATAAATGCTCCCGGTGGCCCGATGAAAGCTAAACAAGGCTTCCTTTTCGGCTTTTTAGTTGTAGCCCAGAAAGCTTCCGGGTGGAGAGTAGCATTTGGAGCTAGCATCAGTTAGCTTGCTACTTGGTGGCTCTGCTTAGCATCCTGTTTCAGGGAGAGAAAAAAACGTTAAAGGGTTACAAAAATAAAGAATTCTCCCAATTTTACTGATATTTCCATAAACCTTTAGAGCTTTCGCTGAGATATACATGCAGGTTATGTTGCTGTTTTGTCCTGTTCTCGCGTGGCCCTCCACTGCTGTGAACAATAAATAATACAGATTGTATTGATTTTATACAATTTCTTCCCAATAACAATAAGCCTTAAAGTTTCCTCCTTACAAATATTTTGACAAAATGTTGTGTACTGGTTAATTATTGGTTTAATAATAAAATGTAAATGTGACAACATTGCTTATTGTTAATAGTTTCTCTTTAACATCTTTGGACATATCAGGGCCTGGAACCATTGAGCAGCATTGGGCCCCACCACAGCTTGGGGGCCAATATTGTATATGAAGGCTCTCCCAGGGTTAAGATTATCTTCTATGAAACTGGGTTTTTACAACATGCTGCTAAATGGAGCATTGTCCAATCTGACCCAAACCCAGCTTTAAAAATAGTACAAAAATCCTCAACTTTGGTTAAAGTAAGACCATTGGTAAGCCCAGTCTAAAAGCTTTGTAAAGCAGTGTAAAATCAGCTTTGATTAATGTATGGATTTCATTGTAATAAAAGCTGAACATGTTAGCAGAGGCGTAGCCAGAAATATTATTAAGGGTGGCCAGGCAATAACCAATGTACACTGAGGGGTGGCCGAAAGTGGATGGGGCGATGATTAAGTAAGGGTGGCCATCTAGCTCCATCCCTGCATGCTAGATTTTGGCTTTTTATTTCAAATGCAGTCCAAAACATATTCTCAGGTAGTTGTTAATCATTATCCTCCCCCTTTGTGATTAACACTATGGATCAAAACCCCACAGTACTACGCTTCCTCATCCATTACATGATAGTGTGTAGTGTTATTGGTCCTTAAAGTATTTCCATGCCTATTCCTACTATATCTCTTCAGATTGTGGCTGACCATAAAGAGCCCCTCGTTGAAATAGGGCTGAAACAATGAATCTTGATTAATCGATTATTGAAATCATCGTCAACTAATCTAGTACTCGATTAATCATTAAATGGAATATGGAGACTTTAAAACATGCCTTTAGTTGACAGAGCAACCTACTAATAGCAATAAATATACCAAAATTGAAAACAAAATAAAATGGATATAAACATTTTTTATTTAAATATGTATGCATATGTATGTTTATATAGCCTTTTATGTGCTAAATATTTTGCTCTCTCTCAGCTTGAATGAACCACAAGCCTAACTCATTAGTTTTTAACTGCTTTCCACAGAGATGTCACCGACAGTAAAGAGATGCTGGTGAGACCTGAAATGGTTCGTTTATAGCTGATCAATAAAGCAAAATCTATATCTACTCTAGGTGTCTGCAACCTTTACAATCCAAATATCCATTTTTGACTTCAGTCCAGCCAAAAAAAATGTTCAGAGCCACAAACATTACATTAGCTTTTTTTTTTTTTTTTAAGAAAATATTAAATATTTCTATATTAAGTAAATATCTACCAAATGAATGTAAGAAAATATATAATGAATCTTCCATGGGTTGCTGAAATTTTAGGAAAATAATGTAAAGAAAAAAAACATTTCCAACTTCAAAACAAAATGAAAAATATATTTGTCATATTTAGTCATTTCATTTTAGCAAATTCCATGCAATTAGAAAGCAACTGAAGAAAAAGCTAACCAGCATTTTGTAGTGTATATATTCTTCATTATAATAGCTGGCTCCACGTCATTTATAGATGGTGATGAAGATCGATTGATTGTCTGAAGAGCCGCTTTCATGCTTCTGAGCCACAGGTTCCAGACCGTTGATCAGGTCACTAATGACTGGTTAGCTTAAAATCCAGTCTGCTGGCTGTTTCCTAACACAAATCCTTTTCAATATGAGAAAGTAAACTTGAAAACTTCCGTCTACTATGAGTTACCAACAAGAATTTAAAAGATGTCTATCTCCTCAAATTTTATTAGAATCAGTTTTGATATGTGACTTTAATTTTGGTCAGATTAGAGAAGATCTACTGAAAACTTTTGCTATAAAGTTATAGACACAAAGGCAGTGCTTCACTTTGGATCCATTTTTAATGAAAAAAAAAATACTTTTTTTAGACATTTTGCTAATTTTGTTTTGCACCTTATTTTCTGGAAGCAGACCTAACCAACGTATTTTCCTGTGTCCAGCATGAGGAGCAGATGTCCCGGATGTTCGATGAAGTGATGGGGCTGGGAGAGTTTGCAGACTCCTCCAGGGGCTCTGTGGCTTCTTCCAAGAGTGGCGGTCAAACAGAATCCAAAGGCCCAGAAGAAACTATAGGACAAGGGGAAAACCAGCAAGTTGAAGACGATAGCAATTCAAGCAGACAGGAGAAAAAGACAGAGGGGACGGAAGAGACAAGTCTTCCGCCCATAGCTGCATCCTCTTCTAAAAAACCCTCATTTAATATAGTAAGGAGTGAAAGAGGAGGTGGGGGGAGTGGTGGAGCGGCCTTTGATGATGCACTGGACGGCCTCCCCTCCTATGGACCTGAGGAGGAGGATGAGGACTGGCACTATGCCCTGCCAATGGGCTCTCTGGAGGATGTTGATGTGGGTAAGGCCAGCAAAATAAGTAAAGTTGGACAGGAGAACAGTGCTTCCGGGGTCACCCCGTTAGCTGGAAAAGCTGTAGCTGAAGAGGAAGATCAACAGAATGATGGGAGCGCTGAATCTGCAAACACCTCCCACTCCTCCCAGGACCACACCCAGGACAACAGCAGAGGTAAAAAGATCGAACGAAGGTCAATAAAAGGAGGTTGTTAGAATCTGTCAAAAGATTTTAAGATCAGGAGTGTTTTGTGAAGGAGGCTTTTACCACTTTCCCACTGGCTGAAAAGTGGCAGTGGGAACATCCCACCCGTGTCTACCTTCATAAAAACCACTCGGCCAGCAACGCGTGTTAAAATTTTTAGGGCCATACACGGCACTGTCCAACTATAGTCCAACTCATATTCTCATAGCCAAAAATATAGTTAAAGACTAAGAAACAGAATTAAAATAAGCTGCTTTAATTTGAGCAATGATAACATAAGACTATAAATACAATCTACATTTGGTTGCTGATTTGGATATTGCCTCAAATTCTTTCCCTTTTTTTTTGTCCTGCTGTTGCTGGAGCCCTGACTCTCCTTCACATTGCAGATGCTGCATCCTACCCCTGTTACATCCTTTGTGAGGTTGATCCACACCTGATAAGCCCCCTCTACCTGTGAAATGAATACATATACATTTAGTTTGTTTTGCTAAGTAGATTTAAATCGTACAGATGCACATTTGAAAATTAAAACGAGGCTGCATACAGCTTAAAGTGAAAACACAGTGCCTAATGAGAGGTGTTTTGTATCTGATTCATTTTTTAAAAATCATGCACAAAACACCTCAGAAATATGTTTCTCTTAATTAAAAGGAACTGAACAGTTCCTTTCTCAACTGAACACAAGGGACTAAACTAGATTTAAATAGAAATGATGCAGCTTTAAAACTTGTAAGCAGGATTACAGCACAATATATAAGTTGGAGCCTTTTAAAAATTAGTTCTACTTCTGAATTTATGAGCCCTGGTACAGCCTGCATGAAGTGTAGTGTGACACAGTATGATAATTTTATTTTCCTTTTAAGAGGAAGAACTTACACAGCTAAAACTCGTGTGCTCTCCTTAAAAGTGTAGTGGGGGATTTTCGTGAATTTTTTAAAAGACCGGCCCTCTCCATTTAATAAAAATAAATAAATAAATAAAAAGGCACATGCATAACCCTGTACCCACTCCTGAGAGGGAACGCCTATTAAACGCGTGCGAGAGCGTGCGCAAGCCCAATAAATAACCTTATCTTCCCTGGAAAGTTACAATATAGAAATAGATCATTTTTAATAGCAGTGAAGTGAAATGGATTTCTCTATATAGCATCCCAAACTTTACCCGTCGAGTAGAAACTTTCCAACCGAGGCATCGCTGAGAAGCCAACGCCGTGCTTTCAGTGTACGCCATCAAGTAAAAGAATGTCCCAGAAACACTCTGGCCTTTCTCTTCTTCTCATACACTTCATAGGCACTTTTTATCTTACAACCCTTTTTCAAAGAACCGCTGTGAGAAAGACAAGCTTCAATGACTGGTTGAAACCGTAGCTCACCGCATATATGACTGAAAGTGCGCATGCGCAGAAAAAGATAACTCACTGGGGACGAGCATGTAGGACAGCCTTACGTAAACGTATCACCAGAATGATTGATAATTAGGAGGAACTCTTATTTTGATAATCCACCTGGAAAATGAAAATCCTCCACTACACCTTTAGTGCGCCCTCATACCGTTTTTCCATGGGAACGTTTATTGTCGTGGGGCACTAAATTGTGGTTTTACAAAATCACAGCTTACCATGAAGTAAACTGCATATTTTCTCCCTCCATCCAACTGTGTTCTTACACTAGAAGCATCTGTGTGAGTGTATGTGTTTGCGAGCAGGGGTGGTGCAGAGAGGCCCACCGAGTTGAGGGGCAGAGGAGCAGAATAAATGAACCTGCCCAAGTTTGTTTCCGCTTTTTACAGCAAAAATTTTTTTTATATAAAATCTGCTCACTGGTTTATTGGTGGGGCTCTAAAAAAACAATAAATTTCCATTCAGAAGGAAATTTCTTGGGATTGTGAATAATTTTGTTTTTAACTTTGTGTCTAGATAGTGTTGGATCTTCCATGTTGGGGTATAGCTAGCTACTGTAGAAGTATTCTGAATTCTTCTATGAATAATAGACATTTTCTTGTTTTTGTTTTGCCCCTTTTTCCACTGATCACCAATGTACTCATAATTAATAAAAAATATTTTTTCCTGTGGACATCTCTTATGATGTTTGCTGTAGTATAAAAGTGAGCTCTATTGTCACCTTGTTAACTCACATTCTTTCCTTAGTGTTAGATGACCAAAACCAGGCGGAGGAGACCCAAGACAGTCAGCAGGAAGAGGTAAGGATCTAAACAGCATATGAAATGGTGTAAAGCTCAAACTGCTTCCAGATATTCATAAACACTCTGTTTCAGACAACAGAAAATGCTAATCCCGGGGATCGTAATCCCCCGTCTCCCAAGACAACCATTAAAGATGAGCCAATTGATGAAGGCTACGATGCTGCTTTGCTTCCTCAGACCTCCAGTAAGCAAATCAAGGAGGAGCTGGAACAAGAGGTAGGAATTTATTTTAAATTCTGATCTAAACATAGTTTTCTCTACATATAATCTACTTGTTTTCTTTTCTTTTTTTCAATCTAAACAAAATTCTAAGCTATTAAGTACACTGTGATTCAACAGCTTGTGATTCCTTTCTGACTTTATTAGCATCAGATGATCACAAGTTTTGTAAACTTCTTAGGATCATGCAGTTTGGCAGATATGTTGCACTGCAAAGCTGTAAGTGATTCAACTCACACTTTCAATCAGGTTGAGATTTAGACTTGGAAGAGTACATTATGAATAAACCCCCATCATTTTACTTTTAAGGGCAGTTTGCATGTTTTAAACTTGATTTATTGTTGTTGATGGTGTAAACCTAAGTCCCATACATTAGAGACTTGATATCTATTCATCAATAATGTTCCTCACCATAGAATCAAATTTAGATTTAAGTCAACATCTCTGTTCTTGAGGCCGGAGCTCATATTTAATTGCATTTTAAAGTAGAGCCATAGTATAAATTTTTTGTATCTGTTGTGTAATGCTACCTTTTTTCCCCCTTTGACTTCCTAGGAAATAAGACTTGTATTTGGATTAGATTCAAAGTAAAAAGGAAAGCATTTAAATGACAGAAAGAGAGGGAAGATTTATATTTGTTGACGTTTTCAGTGATCGGTCCCTATAGCAACAAATATTGTCAAAGTATTCTCTCACCTGCTTTGACTCGCATTTGATCTTAACTGACGAGGCTCTAATTCATCCCAAAGGTTTTCTATTGAGTTAAGGTCAGGACTCTTTGCAGACCAGTCAAGTTCATTCACACCAGACTTTGCCATCCATGTCTAAAATTCTAGAATTGCAATCCTTAAAAGCTCAAAAAAATTGTTAGAGGGGGCTTTTTTCAGTAGCGCAGTGATTAACGCGCATGACCCATGTACAGAGCCCCTAATCACTACTGTTCTGGGTGCTAATAACATTTTCAAGGAGCTTCAGCAGCAGTACCGTTGTCACAAATATCATATTTATAGTCTCCACACTGCAGAGATATTGGAATCTGTGCTTAAATGTCAGCCAAACCCATTTGCACAGGGACAAATAAAACCTTTCAATAAACCAAACATTACCCACCACATATCTGACTCAATAACCATGAAAAAAAACGATTTTCATTAATTTGAGACGAAACTATTCACAATCTTGTAATATATTAAACTGCACTTACAATATTCGCCACTCGACTCACAATGAATGACGGGCTACCCAAGGCAACGGAGAAGACACTAGACCTGTCCTTCAAAAGGGGCAAAAAAGTAGGATGCATTTGTCAGGCTCATACCGTCTTCCAATCTGGGCAGGGCATGGTGCCGCACTATAACGTAAATAGCTCATCGAATCTGGCCTTCTGAAGAAAGACGCTGAATTCGAACTCAGCTTGTTGAAGAACCACCCACATAGAAGTTAGCAGTGGGATGAGTATGCTAAAAAAAAGCTTTTTTTGTCAAATATTTCAAAGATAGGCATTCTTTTTCAACTTAGAAATATGTCAGAGGCTTTAATAAACATTCTAAAGTAATATGAAGGAAATCAAATCTCATGAGGGTCAAATTATTTTCTAAAACATGTTACCAAATGGTTTATTTATCCATTTATAATAAAGGCAGAGATAAAAAACACAATGTAGTTGGAAAATTATTTCTAAAGTAAAGTAGAATAATTGGATAATTTATACCTGCATTTTCTTAATTGTTATTTTTATTTTTGAGCTATTATGCTGACATATTACAACAACTTTATTTACCGTATTTTCACGACTATAAGGCGCACATAAACGTCTTTTTTTCCCCTCAAAATGTGCGGTGCGCCCTTTGGTGCGGTGCACCCTATGTGTGTTGTAACTGCGACTTTTGAGACCACCTCATTGAGGAGATGATGAAAGAGTGGCTGAGGGAGGTGAATGTAAGGAGACCAGGTGGGTTTTTTTTCCACTCATCACCATCGCTGTTAATCTGTGACTCCATGCGCCCATCTCACAGGTGATGTGAAAAACATGGTGAAACAAATGAATGCTGTGCTTGCTATTATTCAACCGCTCGATATCGGTGTGAACCGGACGCAGCAGGTGCAGCAGAAGCAGCGAGTTTACATGCAAAGTCAGTGGTTGACGCGCGTATAGGCGCAGCAAAAGGTCCCGCAGCGCGTTTTGAGCAGCAGGCGCAGCGCGTTGGGAGCGTTTAAGCATCTGCCAACGCGCTGCTGCTGCTCGATGGAAAAATTGAAGTTTTGCTGCTGGAAGCGCCGCATCAACCAATCAGAGAAGCTGATCTGGGAGCTGACAGCGAGACAGACACATCGCTCTGATGACATATGATATTAAGGCAAATGAAAAGGGCTGGATGGATGAGGAGATGATAAAAGCGTGGCTGAGGCAGGTGTATGTGAGGAGACCAGGTGGTTTTTTCCACGCATCACCATCGCTGTTAATCTGTGACTCCATGCGTGCCCATCTCACAGCCGATGTGAAAAACATGGAGAAACAAACGCTGTGCTCGCCGTTATCCCGGGGGTCTGACAAAGGAACTTCAACCGCTCGACATCGGTGTGAACCGGCCGTTCAAAGTAAGGCTGCGAGCGGCGTGGGAACGATGGATGACCGACGAAGACCACAGTTTCACGAAAAGTAAAACAGTTTGCAGATGGATTGTAGATGCTTGGACTAACGTGTCTGCTGGTTCTGTTGTTCGAGCTTTCGCAAAAGCCGGCATTATTTCTGAGGAGCCGCGCTGCACGGAAAGTGACTCTGACAGCGAAGAAGGGGAGATTGGCATGTCTGATTTAGCGCAGCTGTTTAATTCAGAAACAGAGGATGATGACTTTGATGGGTTGATTAATACTTTGTAATAAATACTTGAATATAGCACAATCATATTCAGTTTTGCTCCCGCTCTATTTTTCTACCTAAAAACTTAATGCAACAGCAGCCTCTGGGCCGGGTCGCCTCCGGGTTCACCGCGGCGGCTGGCAGGTGTTTTTTCATCTAAATAATCTAAATCTTGCAGCTGTATTTGCTGTGATCAGTGGGAATAAAGTAGTTTTAATATGTTTTTAAGTGAGAAAGTCCACCTGAAAACTTAATAATTGCAGTCAGTTCATCCAGATTATCTATTTCTGTCGGAGGCGCTCAGACCCCCACATACCAGCGGTGGGCCTACAGTAGAAATCCCTTCATCAGCAGCCTCTAGGCCGGGTAGCCTCTGGGTTCAACGCGGCGGCTGGTAGGTGTTTTTCATCTAAATAATCTAAACTGCAGGCACCAGGATACCGGCAATAAAAGCGAACATATTCCGTCGGCAGGTTTCAGGATTTTAAGTTAATTTAGGAGTGATCACAGCGCTGTGTCATCTGCGATGTGTCTGTCTCACGGCCAGCTCCCAGGTTTGATTTAGGGCTGCAACTAACGATTATTTTAAAAATCGATGAATCGGACGATTATTTTTTCGATGAATCGATGAATCGGACAAAAAATATTTTTTATATTAACCTCTTTATTCCAAAATAAACATTTTAGACAGAACAAACAAGCACACAAGTAAAGGTTGCTCATTAACTGTACTGGTGCAATATGAAAAATAAATGTTTGTGTTAAAACTACGCAAACTTACATGAGAAATGTAGCTGTACATCCACAAAATATAGGGTACTTTGTTTCATAAAGCGCAAAAAAAGACATTTTTGTTTTTAAAAGCCCCTAAGGGGTTCAAGCAATAGGCCCCCCCTATTTCAACAAATGAGTTTTTTTAGACTAGAAGAGTTCTGCCTTTTAAGACAGGAAAGTATAGCAGTTAAAGTGGCTACTTGAGAAAATACTGAACCATAGAGATAAAAATAGCCCTGTGATTCAAATTATAAATTGTATTTGGAATAAAAATGAGAGAACTAGGGGTGGTAAAAAAAAACACATCCTCCAAAGACTCCAATTTACATGGGAATGTGGCATATAATTAATTGACATATTACTGATCTTGCTGGATTTTATTCTGCTTTACTTCCATAAATTGCAGGATCTTCTTTACTTTATCTTTGCCAGAAGATTTAAACTTTAAAAGCCTTGCCCTCATAATTTGCAAGTTAATTTATTTATAAATTAAATGTAAACGCTGCTTAAGCTAATTCAAATGAAATTAAAAGTAAAATAAGTAGCCAACTTTATCACTGTCTGTAACCTACTAACAAGGTAAGGAAAGCATCAGACGAGCTACCTGAGAAACTAACGTAACGTTTCCCCACTTTAAAACCAAACAAACATGGTGGTTCCGTGCCATGTTAATTTCTTTTGACAAAAGTTGCATGTTACTTTTTTCGCTTTACAAAGCGCAGGCTATTTTAATTATTGTGATCAATTTGCGCCGTCAATCCCGGTGCATGCGCGCTTCATTTGCAGTCTGGAAGCTGAGGCTCTGACTGCAGCACTGAGAGGGATTCCTGCGGGAAAACGCGGTTGGGGTGGGGGAGGCGCCCCACGGCAGAGTAGGAACGATACATGCTTTCACGTAAGAGTCTCCAAAAGTCGCCAGTGACACCGTAAAAAGTCGCCAGATTTGTCGCTAGTCGCTTTTTTGAAAAATGGTCGCTGGAGGGGTCTGAAAAGTCGCTGAGTTGGCAACACTGCACCTGCGGCGCTGGCTCGCTCTGCCGTATTTTTTTTTTCTTCCTCTTTCAGTCAAGAGGCAGTGATGACGGCGCAGCGGATGACGCATTAATCGTGCGACACAACTAATCGATGATGAAATTCGTTGCCAACGCTTTTAAAAGTCGATTTTTATCAATTTTATCGATTCGTTGTTGCAGCCCTAGTTTGATTAATACTTTGTAATAAATACATGAATAATGCACAGTCATACTCAGTTTTGCTCCCGCTGTATTTTTAAATACGCAGTAGAGGTATTTAAAGGTAGTAGAGGACATGTACCTGTATATAAAAAACGCGCCCTATAGTCCGGTGCGCCTTGTGTGTGTGTTAAATACAGAAATGGCACACATAATTGAGACTGCGCCTTTTAGTACGGTGCGCCTTATGGTCGTGAAAATACGGTATGCATAAATTTACATATTTTATATTTGTATATATATTTTCCTTTTTATTGAAAATACAAGATGGACGGCTAGGGTTGGGAATTGAAAAGATTTTCACGATTCCGATTCCCTTTTCGATTCTATGAAACGATTCGATTCTTTTTTCGATTCCAATTTGGGGGGAAAAGGAGAACAAACAGTTTGATTATCAGCATCAACTTTGTTTACTTAACTATTGCACAATCTTACAAACTCAACAAGATCAAGATGTCCACAGGAAATGTGAAACTGAAGTAACATCTGTGTTTAAATGAAAAATGAATACAAGAACAAACTTAATAACCAACAATGTCTAATAACAAATGATGGGATAACAACCTATTTTAAATAACAAAAAATACTAATTATAAAACAGTAGTAGGGAAAATTAACAGTTCTTTTGCAGAAAGATGAGCAAATCTGCCTTTTCTGGAAGGATATGGGATCTTTCAGCGCTTAAGGTGTCTCCAGCCGTGGAGAACACCCTCTCAAATGGTGTGGAGGAAGCCTGCACACAGAGGTAGTTTTCAGCCAGTCCAGATAGCAAGGGCAGCGTATCTTGCTTGTTCCACCACCACAGTGTGGCGCTATCCCTGCAGGGGATGGAGGGCAAGCTTTTATAGAGCTGGATTTCCTGATCCACCCTCTGGGCTAAGGAAAGACGGGGCTTTGATTTACAAAGTGACCGCAGCTCGTTTTCTTCCTCCTCGAATAGTTCTTCCAACTTGCGTAACTTGCGTAAAAAACGTGACGTAAGTCGTGCTCCCCAGAGCCGGCGCTCTAGGCTCTGGTGCTGCGGGAATCAAAAAAAGAATCATTCAGCGAGCTGCCAACAGTGCCATGGAATCGGAAAATACGGAACCGGTTCTGAACAGAAACCGGTTTTCGATTCCCATCCCTATGGACGGCAAAACCTTTTATGCTTCGAGGACGCACAATTCCCAGGCTCTGATATCTGAACACCTCAAGATTCTGATGCTGATCTGAGCAATAATGATGGACAAATAGAAGATCCTGACTATCATCCCAAACAAGAGGAAGATTAAATTTCTTTTGAGTCCATGGTTGAAGTGGAGGAGACTCCAAATACAAGCTCGTCCGCTAAACCACCACCTCTCAAGAAAAGATGTAATGGAAAAAACATTCTGAAAAGAATGTCTGTAACAGAACTGGTTAAAACTCTTGAGCAATGCATACCTCCTGGCAGATATTTGAGGCTCCATGGTGATGCCGTGAAGACACCCTTGCAGTATTTCAAGTCACTTTTTACAGATGAGATAATTCACCATATTGCTCACCACACCAACCTTTACCCTATCCCAGAATTGGGGGATCCAGTAAGACCCATACCCATAATTCACCATATTGCTCTAAAAACTATAGAGGTGTTTTCAAGGAAAAAAAAAAACATCTGTACCCTGTATTGATGTTTAAATAAAAAAAAAAAATACTAAGAAATATTTTTTTCGTTGCAGTATTCTTGGTGTGGACCTCAATGGTGGCTGCACCTTTGAGTAACTCTACTAGACTTTACCTGACTGATATATTATTTATTTCTTTTTCTTTTTACAAGAACTTTGGTTTCTCCATGTTTGGATGGGAGTTTTGTTTTTTCTGATATTTTATGCTACTGGCGTTGAATGCGATGCCAGGAGACGAGAGAGGAACAAGTAATTTAAGCCATCTCTTCCATCAATCATCATGGGCAATGTGAGATCTTTAGGAAGCAAGTTAGAAGAATTTTAAAACATAGCAAGAACCCTGCCAGGTTATCAGGAAAGCAGTAGTATGTGTTTTACTTAAAAGTGGCTCAAGGATCATATCTCAGACTCCAGCTTCAAGGCTTTCTGAACATACAAACAGACAGATATTTAAAGAAGACTGGAAAACTCAAAGGAGGTGGGTTGGCAGTGAACAATAGATGGTTTCATCCAGAACATGTGACTGTGAAGAATTGTAACTGCTGCCAAGATATTGAACTGTTTGCAGTTGCTTTTTTCAGCAATATTACATGCCCAGAGAGTTTACCTTTCTTCTCTTAGTTACGGTTTACATTCCACCTTCTGCTATTCCAGGTGACTGTGGAATATTTGATATGCTTGATTTTATACACCTGTGGTCATGGAAGTAATTGGCACACCTGATTCCAATACATAGGATGGATGAGCAAATACTTTTGGCAATATTGTGTATGTGCAACAGCCATAGATGCACAGACTTTCAGCAGTTGCCAAAGCCTCACCTTTATGGGTAAATATGCGTTCTACAAAAACAACCTACTTTTTTTACTTTATATTTCGTTGTTTAGGTTTTGAATGAAGCTGGGTTTCATCCCATTGAGAGCTGCGCTCTGTTCAAGTTTGGCTTTTAAACACAGAATTATTATGTTTATAGTTTCCAAAAAGTTAACGCCAGTCTTAAATTTTTTTGCTTTATTGTACAGAATGGCGTCTAAAGTGAATAATCTTCTGGGAAAATTGTTAGCCATCTCAAATCTTTTCCATTCAACATTTCCTTATGCTAATGATGAACTTAGTTCATTATATTGACTTTCCTTAAGATAATTCCTGATTTCTTTCTAAACTTACCAGGGTGATGGTCGCTGCTGAATCAAGCGCATTAACTAGCAGAACCTTTTCTTGTTTGATATTTTCAGGAAGAGCTGAGGATCAGCTCGGTCTACTCTGTAGGAGGAGGAAACAGCTTCACGTCTTCTTCCGGTGAGTTTCTGTACTTTTCACTTTGAAAACAACATGTTGAATATTCAGCAAGGCAACTGATTCTCCTGGTACATTTTCCTCAGAAACTTTTGAATGGTGTTATGCGATGTGAGGCTGTAAGAAGTTAATGTCAATAAAGGCAGCTGCACACTTTACAAGAAGCAATTTGTTTTCCCACAGCTCTGTCTTGAAGGTTCTCCCTGCTTGTTCTTTATACGTTGTCTTGGCAGAACTGTTTTTTCCGTGCAGTGTGCCCCAGAGCAATTCTCTTAATAGCCATATGTAATTGCCATCTTTTTTTCATGTGAAATCAATGCAGTAAACTTTTGTGTATTGGATTGTAAAAATAGGCTGGCACTTGTAATGAAATAGGAACATTTGTGTGTAATTAATATTAAGCGTTTTGCTCTCTTCTTCCTTTTCCTTCACTCATCTGAAATATGCCCCCTCTGCAGTTTTTCTTAAGTGCCTGTAATGCAAGCTACAGTTGAACAGGCTTTCTAAATCAGTCCAGGAGCTATGCTTCTCGTTGGGTATAGATTAAGTACCGTATTTTCACGACTATAAGGCGCACCTAAACGTCTTTTTTTCCCCTCAAAATGTGGGGTGCGCCCTATGGTGCGGTGCGCCCTATCTGCGGACGTTGTTGAGACCACCATGAGTATGTGAGAACCTTAAAGGGGGAAGTGTGGGCGTGGCTTGTGTATAAAAGAACAGGTATGTGCTTTATGCAGAACATTGTTGTCTTAACAACCCTGGAAATGGCAAAGAGACACGCCTATGAAGCCCAGTTTAAACTGAAGGCTATCAGCTACGCAGAGGAACATGGAAATCGAGCAGCTGCGAGAGAATTCAATATAAATGAATCGATGGTTCGCAAGTGGAGGAAGCTGGAAAACGAACTCCGACTGGTGAAGAAGACGCAGCTGAGTTTCCGCGGACATAAGGCCAGGTGGCCCGAGTTGGAGGAAAGACTCGAGCGGTGGATCGTGGAGCAAAGAACGAGTGGGGCCAGCGTTTCAACAGTCACTGTTCGACTAAAAGCAGTAAAGCTGGCGGAAGAAATGAAAATTGAAAATTTTCAAGGAGGTCCATCGTGGTGCTTCCGTTTTATGAAACGGTGCAATTTTTCCATCCGGACCAAGACTACAGTTGCTCAGCGACGTCCGGCGAATTATGATGAAAAGCTGGCGAGCTTCCACTCTTTCTGCAGCAAACACATCGCTGACAAAGTCATCCAGCCAAGCCACATCACCAACATGGACGAGGTGCCGCTCACTTTCGACATCCCGGTGAATCACACCGTGGAGAAGAAGGGGACCAGCACTGTAGCGATACACACAACGGGGTATGAAAAGGCGTCGTTTACTGTTGTGCTTGGCTGCCACGCAAATGGACAGAAACTGCCGCCTATGGTGATTTTTAAAAGAAAGACTTTGCCTAAAGAGACTTTTCCAGCTGGAGTTGTTATTAAGGCGAATGAAAAAGGCTGGATGGACGAGGAGATGATGAAAGCTTGGCTGAGGGAGGTGTATGTAAGGAGACCAGGTGGTTTTTTCCACGCATCACCATCTCTGTTAATTTGTGACTCCATGCGTGCCCATCTCACAGCCGATGTGAAAAAAAAGGTCAAAGAAATGAACGCTGTGCTTGCTGTTATTCCGGGAGGTCTGACAAAGGAACTTCAACCGCTCGACATCGGTGTGAACCGTCCGTTCAAAGTAAGGCTGCGAGCGGCGTGGGAGCGATGGATGACAGACGGAGAGCACAGTTTCACTAAAAGTGGAAGGCAGCGCCGGGCAAGTTATGCCACCGTTTGCGGATGGATTGTAGATGCTTGGACTAACGTTTCTGCTGGGACTGTTGTTCAAGCTTTCACAAAAGCCGGCATCATTTCCAAGGAGCCGCCCGGCACGGAAAGTGACTCTGACAGCGAAGAAGAAGGGGAAACTGGCATGTCGGATTTAGCGCAGCTGTTTAATTCAGAAACAGAGGATGAGGACTTTGAGGGGTTTGATTAATACTCTGTAATAAATACTTGAATAAAGCACAATCATACTCAGTTTTGCTCCCGCTCTATTTTTCTACCTGAAAACTTAATTCAACAGCCGCCTCTGGGCCGCGGCGCATCCGGGCTCACCTCGGCAAGTGTTTTTTCATCTAAATAATCTAAATCTTTTTAAGTGAGAAAGTCCACCTGAAAACTTAATTCAACAGCCGCCTCTGGGCCGCGGCGCATCCGGGCTCACCTCCGCAGGTGTTTTTTCATCTAAATAATCTAAATCTTTTTAAGTGAGAAAGTCCACCTGAAAATTTAATCATTGCAGTCAGTTCATCCAGATTATTATCCTGCCTATGTTTTAAGTTAATTTATGCGTCAATAAACGAAGAAGAAGGGGAAACTGGCATGTCGGATTTAGCGCAGCTGTTTAATTCAGAAACAGAGGATGAGGACTTTGAGGGGTTTGATTAATACTCTGTAATAAATACTTGAATAAAGCACAATCATACTCAGTTTTGCTCCAGCTCTATTTTTCTACCTGAAAACTTAATTCAACAGCAGCCTCTGGGCGCGGCGCATCCGGGCTCACCTCCGCAGGTGTTTTTTCATCTAAATAATCTAAATCTTTTTAAGTGAGAAAGTCCACCTGAAAATTTAATCATTGCAGTCAGTTCATCCAGATTATTATCCTGCCTATGTTTTAAGTTAATTTATGCGTCAATAAACTGTATCAGAGGAGTAATCACAGCCCTGTGTCATCAGCGATGTGTCTCTCACGGCCGGTTCCCAGGTTTGAATAATACTTTGTAATAAATACACCTTGCAGCTTTATTTGCTGTGATCAGTGGGAATAAAGTAGTTTTAATATGTTTTTAAGTGGGAAAATCCACCTGAGAGGACATGTACCTGTATATAAAAAACGCGCCCTATAGTCCGGTGCGCCTTATGTGTGTGTTAAATACAGAAATGGCACACATAACTGAGACTGCGCCTTTTAATCCGGTGCGCCTTATGGTCGTGAAAATACGGTACTTGATGGGGGGGAAAAAAAAAATTATTTTCCATTCGAACTCAAGGAAAAGAAAAATTTCTTAGTTTTTGTGGCATCTTTTATAAGCTTTAGACTCAGATCGTACTTACACTAAAGCTTCTATCATACTGCTAAGAACTGCTAAGGATTAGTTGTTGTTTAAAAGATGGTAAACTTACCTTGTGATCCACTATAATGGCATGTTTGATTAAAAACTACATCTGGGATCACCAAAGGTTGTGGGCAGAATAAGCAACTGGACTGGTTATAACAACAAAAAGCACGTAAAAAATGTTTGGTCCAGGTCTACAGGCATGCAATTGTTACAGGCTTTTTTTTTTTTTTTTTTGAACCGTTTTTAAATTTCAAATGGAATGATCAGTTAAGATCAATCCTAAACTGACTTTCCAGAAGTCTGCTAGTAGGTAAAGTGTCGCATGAGTTTCCTGAAGTGAACAAACAAGGTGGAAGAAGGGTTTCCAACTGGGTCAGGAACACCAAACATTCAGCATGTGTGGGAGACGGTTTTCTTCTTCCTTAACATCACTGTCAAAATCCTTTTTTAAATGGAATTTAAAAAAGGAAAAGCTGTAAGAGGAACCCAAAGGTCATGCAACATCTCTGCTCTTTAACCGACCCTCTGTTAACTTCAGGGCTACGTACAAACAAAACATGAAGATGCTGCTACCTTAACTTCATGGGCTTGTAATTTTACAATTTTTTTCTTCAATTTAGCCAATTTGGGATTAAAAAGGGAGAAGTTTTCTCCACCGTGACATTAAAAACTCATTGCCTGGTATCACAAACTGTTGCTACTGGTTGTTTAGGCAGCAAATTATTAGGATCAGGGTACAGTAACTTTAGCAGGTTGCTTTCCTTTTAATAAAATTAGCATTCAAAACTCCATTTTGAATTTTCCTATTGTCCTATGAAAAATGTATTGAATCAGAAGCTCCAATTAGGACAAAAATGTAAAAATAAAAGTCTGAAAGTTCTTTTCACTGCACAGTACTTTAACATGTTTCTTCAGTGCTGCTTGATCAGCTCTGTTAGAAAGTTTTTCTACTGTATCCAGAGTGAGAAGTATGTACACTCACCTTCTAATTCACACCCTTTTCCTTCCTTTCTTTCCTTGTTTGTTGGTTTTATCTTTACCCCGAATTTACATTTCATAATCATTTTCAGAATCCATGCGAATAGCTTGTAAAATAATTAAGTTTATTTTTTTCTCCTTTTTTATTACTACCAATGCCTGCAGTCATTTCAGCCCCAACCCCGACGCATATTTTAATCCCTGGTAGAGGGGCGGTTCTCCAGGCCATGGCTTCCCTCCCAGTTAGGCCACAGCTTCCAGTACAATCTTCGATACCCACTTTGACGGCGTTCCCGCCACGCCCTCCACCACCTGCCGTTCCTGGCAGCGTTCGCTGCAGCGGCTGTGCCAAGGTAGTGTGAAAACATGGGTTATATTTTTGTGGAAGTGGATTTTTTACACCGCAGATCTTTCTACCGATCTTTTTGTACCTTCGAAGGAGATGACTGTTTGTTTTTAATATTTTCTAGGTTTTGCTGAAAGGACAAACGGCTTTCCAAAGAAAAGGCTCAACGCAGCTCTTTTGCTCCACGGTCTGTCTGACAGGCCATCTTCCACCAATTGCTAAGGTTCGAACGTGTGTCCAATGCAACAGGTACGTCTTGTTAGTGGCGCTAAGGCTTTTCTTCCTAATGTTGTGACTCTAAATATATTTACTGTTTATCCCTAATCTATTTGCTATTTGACTATTTCAGTATTGTTTTGTGTCTGACCTCAGAAATTACATTGAGGGGTTTGTTGTTTTTTTTTTACATTTTACAGCTCTAGGGGCTGTTTTTTTTTTGGACAGTAGGCTAAAAGGAAAGTGGGTATGAGAGAGGGAGAAACATGCAGCAAAGGACCACAGGCCAGATTCAAACCCGAGTCAGCCGCGTCAAGGACTAGGGTCTCCATACATGGGTCGTGTGCGCTAACCACTGCGCCACTGAAGCACGCCCTTGTTATGGTGTGGAGGAGGTCAAACAAACCTTCATTATGTTTTCCAACAATGTAAACATTTGTATAATTAAATACGTAAACGATAAATGTAAACATTTCTTTCAACGACCATTTGCGTCATAGCTCTAGAGATCAGTGGCCATAGCCTGCAACACGTTTCGGCGTGGCTCAGTGCCAGGCAAACAAAGCGACGGGTGTGTGTCCGACCATGGATCCCAGAGGAAAAAAAGGAAGACGCCTGATGAGAACAGAGGATTCAAAGAAAAGACTCATTAATTTGCTTTCATTATCAATGCAGAGGGATTGTCTGCATTTTTGCTTTTTTAATGAGAGGTTGTCAGACAACAGAGTGAGTTCTTGGAGAAGCAGAGTCTAATATATCCACAGGATCACAGAGAGTATAGCTGAAGTCGCTGAGCTGTTGTAAATTCCCAGGAGCAGACGAAAGAGTTCACGGGGCAAAGATCCAGCAGCGCAGTAACGGAAGCACAGAACCTGACTGACAAGGTGTTGGGTTAGTAGTGACTGAATACGAAAAGGCGGGGAAGAGCTAACTGAGGGAGGTTCTTGTAGAGAGGCTGGCAGGTGGAGTGAGTATAGACTAATTGGTGCTTGACAGGTGTAACTAAAGGCTGAGCTGTGTAGAGGAGGTGGTGCTGGAAAATAACACAAGGTGATAGCCAGGCCAAAACAGAACCATGACACTGACTATAGGGTGAAGTTTGGATTAAGGATAAATGTTAAAAATATTATTAATCGATTAAGAGCTGAAAAAATGTATTGGATTAATAGATTATTGAAATATTTGTCAACTAATGTAGTAATCGATTAATCTTGAACTGGAGCATAAAACTCTAAAACATGGCTTAGGCTGACAGAGAAACCCACTTAGAGCAGATATACCAAAAAAAGATATTTTGCATTTTAAGATAAAAAAATATATATATCTTATGTCAATATTCTCTATCCGGCACTCCACAAGTGAAAAAGATTTTGTTTCACCCAGTTTAGTTATGTAAAAAACCTTCTTCAAGGAACCTTTTGCTATCTAAGTATTAATGATTTGATAAAATATTCAACAGATTTGCAAAAACATACACTATATTGCCAAAAGTATTTGCTCACCCATCCAAATTATTGGAATCAGGTGTTCCAATCACTTCCATGGCCACAGGTGTATAAATTCAAGCACCTAGGCATGCAGACTGTTTTTACAAACATTTGTGAAAGAATGGGTCGCTCTCAGGAGCTCAGTGAATTCCAGCGTGGAACTGTGATAGGATGCCACCTGTGCAACAAATCCAGTCGTGAAATATCCTCGCTCCTAAATATTCCACAGTCAACTGTCAGCTGTATTATAAGAAAATGGAAGTGTTTGGGAACGACAGCAACTCAGCCACGAAGAGGTAGGCCACGTAAACTGACGGAGCGGGGTCAGCGGATGCTGACGCGCATAGTGCGAAGAGGTCGCCAACTTTCTGCAGAGTCAATCACTACAGACCTCCAAACTTCATGTGGCCTTCAGATTAGCTCAAGAACAGTGCGCAGAGAGCTTCATGGAATGGGTTTCCATGGTCGAGCAGCTGCATCCAAGCCATACATCACCAAGTGCAATGCAAAGCGTCGGATGCGGTGGTGTAAAGCACGCCGCCACTGGACTCTAGAGCAGTGGAGACGCGTTCTCTGGAGTGACGAATCGCACTTCTCCATCTGGCAATCTGATGGACGGGTCTGGGTTTGGCGGTAGCCAGGAGAATGGTACTTGTCTGACTGCATTGTGCCAAGTGTAAAGTTTGGTGGAGGGGGGATTATGGTGTGGGGTTGTTTTTCAGGAGCTGGGCTTGGCCCCTTAGTTCCAGTGAAAGGAACTCTGAATGCTTCAGCATACCAAGACATTTTGGACAATTCCATGCTCCCAACTTTGTGGGAACAGTTTGGAGCTGGCCCCTTCCTCTTCCAACATGACTGTGCACCAGTGCACAAAGCAAGGTCCATAAAGACATGGATGACAGAGTCTGGTGTGGATGAACTTGACTGGCCTGCACAGAGTCCTGACCTCAACCCGATAGAACACCTTTGGGATGAATTAGAGCGGAGACTGAGAGCCAGGCCTTCTCGTCCAACATCAGTGTGCGACCTCACAAATGCGCTTCTGGAAGAATGGTCAAAAATTCCCATAAACACACTCCTAAACCTTGTGGACAGCCTTCCCAGAAGAGTTGAAGCTGTTCTAGCTGCAAAGGGTGGACCGACGTCATATTGAACCCTATGGATTAGGAACGGGATGTCACTTAAGCTCATATGTGAGTCAAGGCAGGTGAGCAAATACTTTTGGCAATATAGTGTATTTAGTACCAGACTTTAACAGATTTTTAAAACCCAAGAGTCTGTTTTCCCAGGAGCCTTAGGAGAGGGTTTTTAGACCCAATTTTCATTTTGATCTCTATCTTGGTTTTAATGATTTGAGGGGAAAAAATAGTTGGCCAAAGTTTTAGACACAATTTTAATTGGTTAGCTTTCATCAGAAGAACAATAACAAAGCAAATCTCCCATGGTTGGTCCAACTTTGTGCTTTTTTGGCTTTCAATGTTTAGAGAAAACTAGACTTCTTTAAGTTTGTGGTTCTGACCCCCTCTCATCTCTGAGTTTTGAAGAAATCTCTAAACAGCAGCTGTTGAATTGGTTAAAAACTTACTAAGCAGACTGGCTTTTAAATTAGGTCCCTGGATGAACAGGAAAGGAAATGCATCAAAAATATAAGTGATGCTGAGCAAAATATAAAGAAACAACAAATATCTTTGGTGATTTCCACAGAAAAATAATCATATATAAAGTTTTGTTGAAAAAAGCGAACTTCTTCTATGATTCGTTCGACTAGGCTCACTGGGTTCTACGGTCTGGTTTGTGTTTGGAGTCTGTTCAGTTGAAGCATGTGCTTCCTGTGGAGGAGACATCAAAATGAGCTGCTCAACCAATCAGAAGCAGACATGGAATAAAAAGAGCTCTACTTTTCATCAGATGACTAGTAATAACCATTTCTTCCTCCCTTTATGGTTTGCAGGGAGATAGTTCAGCCCAGAGACATGGTCACAGTCCCAGCAGAAGACGGCACAATCATGCCTTTTTGTGGCCAGTTTTGCCTGTCTGTATTCAGACACAAGAAGAAACACGGGGATAAAGTATTAACTGATAAACGCAATGAGAGGAAGCCTGAGAAGCCACCTGAAAAACCAGTAGAACGTCTGCCTGAAAAACCCTCCTGTAGTATCTGCAAAATCACCAACAAGGTACGATACTGAAGGAAGAGTATAAACATAAAATCTTTGCTTATTGTAAGGTTTGGTGGATGTGTTTTGTACTTTAAGGAAATGTAAACATTGGATGAATATGATTTTTTTTCCCAGGTCACTATTGCCTCTTTTGGTCTCCTTGCACGTTTTATAGCTTTTTTTGTTTTGTTTTGTTTTGTTTTTCCTTTTACAGCAAATTGAGCATGAGGTCACCCATCAAGGAAAATTGCACCGACTCTGCAGCGACTCCTGTTTTCTGACCTGGCGCAAACTGCGTCAGGTGGCCATGAACTGCTGCGAAGGCTGCGGACTTTACTGCAGCAGCAAGTCTGGTTCCTGTCAAACGCTGACGATTGAAAAATCTCAGCTCAACTTCTGCAGCTCCACCTGCATTGGCACCTTTAAACAGGTTTGTTTCAGAAGAACTAGAATCCAATATAATTTCTGTCTCTTACAATACCCTGTTAAAGATTCTTAATCATCCAGGTCACAGTTATTGCAACAAAGTAAAAAAAAAAAATCCACCGGAGTTTGTTTCCAAGATTGAAGATATTTCGCTTCCCATCCTGGATGCTTTTTTAATTCAAAATGTCTGGATTAGCATTAAGATTTAAGCTAAGATCTCAACAACTCCCCATTCCTAAGCGGCAGACCCATTCTTCCAGTTCAATTTGCATGTTTTCTAAGCCAAAACAAGGCCTTGTTTTGGGCTACTCTATAAAGCTTGGAACTCCACACTAATTCTGACATTTTGAATTGAAAAAGGTTCCTGGATGGGAAGCGAAATGTCTTCAAACTTGGATGCAAAGTCCATTATTTTTTTGTTTTTTTCTTTACTTTTATGGAATGTTTCTTGCAAATCAAGTTTTATTGTAACAACCATATATATAATATATTTTTATGAAAGATAATATATTTTTTTTTTTTTATGTAGACATGCAGAAAGTCTACAGAGTGTGCCAACTGTCGCAAGACAGCTGTGGTTTCCTCTACCATCATGGAGCGGGACCAAAAGGGTAAAGTTCAGCTGTACTGCTCTAATGCATGTGTGGAACAGAGTCACCCGGCCCAGCATAACCTCACAGGTACGACACGGCAAGCATTGCCGCGTTAGTCGGACGTAAAGACAGAAGCTTTAGGATTAAAAGTTACTGATAGTTTAATCTGTTGCAGGTACTCCTTTCCCTTGCGGTCAGTGTAAAGTTCCTGCGGTTCCTCAGTACCATCTCGCCATGGTGGACGGCACCATTCGGAACTTCTGTTCCTTAGCCTGTGTGACCACATTTAGGGTAATTATCAACATAGTTTTGACTTTAAAAAGTCCGGATGAAAAAATTTTAATGTCCCATTTTTTTTTTTTTTTTTTATGCTCACTCTTGTATTTTTTTTTTATTTTTTTTTCTGCAGAAATCTTCCCTTTCATCTCAGCCTGATCTGACCAATGGAACCGCCTCTCTCAGGGATCCTCCCAGTAAAGATCTTCCGAAGCCAGGAACCTCTACTGCAGCCACCGGAGCCACATCAGTCCCCCCCATTCCTCAGGATTACTCCTCCTCAGTCCCGTACCCTGGACACCATACCAGCCACACATCAGTGCCCCCACTAGTGCCTCCTCAATCGGCCGTGTCCACTCCTACTGTCCCTGGACAGGCCCAAGCTAGATCCCCCCTGGAGCAGCCTCTTAAACCAGTGGAGGATGGGCTCAGTGATGCCGTCAAACTCACCTGCTATCAGTGCAGCAAAAAGTTCAGCAGCAAGCCACTACTTCTCACCCACCAGGTGAGAAACATTTTGTCATACATACATTTCTTTTCAAACAATATTCTCCCTCTCAATTGCCTTCGCTTTTCCTCTCCAGGGTCGTATTTCTTTGTTCTGCAGTAAAGGGTGCTGTGATCAGTATAACATCCAGAAAAATGTCCTCACCATGTGCAGCTGCTGCAAAGAGGAAAAGATCCTCTATGAGGTCACCAACCTCGGTCCACAGGATGTGTTCTTTTGCAGCGAAAGTAAGTTAAAAAAAAACATTTTTGCCCATGCAAAGTGCTGCATTCAAAACCCTGAAAAAATTTCACTTGTTTTTTAAAATGCATATGATCAGAATTTAGCCAATTTCATTTTGTTTTGTTATCTGGTAGCAGTTATTAAATCGACAGGATTTAACTGATTGGAACAAGTGGGGACAGAAAACTGAAGGTTTTTAATCTAGAAAAAGTGTAGAATTCTGATGAAAAGTAAACTCGGACAATTCATTGAAGAGTGTTGTTGTTCCTTTGGATGACTTCTTCCCCTATTTTAACCCACAGATTGCAAACAGACCTTCAAACAGGATCGCTCCCTGCGTCCCTGCTCCTACTGCTGTAGCCTCGGACAGAAGATGATGATCAGTCACTATGGAGGGAAGATCGAGGAGTTCTGCAAACCTCACTGCATGTCCCAGTACACCGTGCTTTACTATGGAGTAAGTAAAGGACATGTGTACACAGAGCACCAAAAAAAGATCTAAGGATCAGATCATAAAATGTTAAAGGAAAAACAGCAGCAACTTGTTTTCAGGAAAAAACTTCCCCTCCTTCTAAATATTTTTGTTTAAAGTAGAGTATCATTTCTATTTTTAGATGTTTTGGTAAATGCTGTGTGACTGGGTATAGCAGGTCTGTTAAGCCCAGCTAAAATTATTCAGAATAAGGGCCGCTGTCCACAGACCTTGAAGCGTTTTACAGAGTAACACAAGGCTTAGGTTTGGTCCTTATCACTTGTATAAATTCAGTCGTTGTTTAAAACTATCTTCAGGAGGCCACTGATATTTTTAATCTATTTTGCTGTTTTGCTTATAGTTTTAGGCCATATCTGCATCCCTACTGTTAGCATGAGGCAACACATGGAACCTACAGAGGTTTCCTCAGCAGTCGATATCATGGAAAACGACTGCCGTTTGCCACAGAACGGCAGAACTGCTCGGTTCTGAACTGCTCTCTCACAGATTAAAACAGTTTAGCTCAGAGTGAATGACTCGGAAGCCCAAAACTTTACCCATCCCATATCAATATGCATATCTAGCACTGTCATTAAAGCTTTTTTCTTTTTTTCTTTTTTTTGCTTTTTTTTTTTTTTGCTGTTTAAATTTATAAGATATTAGATTTAGTTGATTTTTTTTTTTTATATGGTAATGTCAAACATTGAAGGTTTTCCCCCTTGTAACAGTCACCAAGGTGAGGTTTTGGTGACTGTTGTAATTCTGTGCATCTGCAGCTGTTGCACATAAATTATATTGCCCCAAAAATTGAAGACTAGCTGAGGGAAGTTAGGGATTCCCATATTTACCAGGGACTTGGCACTGGGGCAGGATGTCCTTTGGGTTCTTTTTCTTCTATAATCTTGTTTTATCTCTCTCTGGTCAGATGGGTCGGTGCGATGGCTGCAGGAAGCAGGGGTACATGAACGAGAAGCTGCATTGCTTGGGCTCGGTCTGTAACTTCTGCAACATGTCCTGCCTGCTGCAGTACTGCTCCCTTCACTTCGAAACAGGTCAACACACTACCAGCACCAACGGCACAGCAACTGCCCCACCTGTGCCATCCGGTAAATTCTCTCAGTAAATTATACCTCAAGTTCATTAGAACTCAAAGACAGTGGTGTTATTTTTATTTTTTCGTTGAAATAATGTTGTGCAGCTCCAGTGCAACCTCATCACTCCACGAAGATGAATCCCGTCATCGCAGATGTCGTCTCCTTAGCCAACGGTTCAGCCTCTCAGCCCAGTGGGTCGGCAGATGCAGCTCTGACCGGTCAGTTTACCGATGCTGTTAGCAGTGGTCATTTTTTTGTTCAGACAAAAAAAAAACCTGGAGAAAGGCAGTTTAAGGCTTTTATTAACCCACTACTGTGGTGTTAAATTTATTTTTTACATCAATTTCCTCCCATTAATATGCATAACAGGTGTATTAACACTGGGATTTCATAGATTTGATATTTTTTGGTCATATACCTAGTTTTATTAATTCTCCAAAATTACCGATGATGTTCTTTGTTTTTTGTCCACTTTTAAATCCCTAAAACTTATTAATAAACTAGTTCAGCTGGTGTAAAGTAGCTGCTATTGAGTTGCTCTTTATGTTTCTAACATTACGGTCTTATCTCTGTTTTTTAGGAGAGCTTCCAACCTCCAGCGTAGATGGAAAGAACCTCGATCACGTATGACTTCCATCCTTTTTCTCCTATAAACAGGCAGCTCAAACAGAAAACATGCAGGGATTAAACACACTCACTTTTTCCTTTTGCAGAATAATATCCCAATAAAATGTACAACAATACAAACATTAATTTCAGTGCATTTATTCAATTTAGGATGAATCTTTCTCAGATTTGTGTTGATCTTGTTTAGTCAGAAAATGGCAACTGTATCAGAACTGCTTGACTAAATTTGTCATTTTTTACTGTTAAAAGTTTCAAAGAGCTTAACGATTATGCTTTACATTGAACAAATATTCCCCTGTGTGAAAAGAACTGGTAGAACCTAAATTCAAAGGGTCACAATGAATGTAAAGGGAAAAACATTTCCTAAAGAAAAGCTCTTACAGTGGTTGTTGAAATGCTATTGTCTTCAACTCATTGTGCACATAGTAAAATAAATCATTCAAACATCGCTCTGTTTAGGCTGCATTCTTAACTGTTATAATACACTAAAAGTGGTGATTCTTTACTCTCCATGTGGTCAGTCTGGCTGGCTATGCTGGAAAAGATCTGCTTTTCTCTTTGATCCAATGTTGCAAAAATCTAAGTGCAGAAAGGCAATAATTTTTTTATTTTTCCAACTTAAGTTGGGTTCAATATTGAATTTCTCAAACTTTTGGTGCGAGTCTATGCTAATGCAATATGAGATTGACTTGTTTAATGTTAAGTGAATATCTTTGATGTATTAAGATATTTTTTTTAAATGCAGAGATTATAATCTGTATTTGCCTGATGAGGAAAAAATTGTGTTTTTAATGATTGTTCATATTTTTTTCTGTGTGATGCCTTCAGGCCAGCACACAGACTGACGCCATGCGTGCGCCGGCGCCACGCCGCCGACAGATGAAGAACAAGTCTGTTCTGTGCCGACCTTTCACTGTGGACCAGGAAATCATGTGCGAGCTGCCGTCACCTCCCGCAGAATCAGAAGGTAGCTACATTGAAACACATTCAACCAGTTTTATCCTCTCTGACAGCTAAACATGTAGCAGAGAAGCTCAGGAGAGACTTTAGTGTTTACCTGTGTTACCTTTAGGAATGTAATGGGATGTACCGGTGGCTGAATGTTCTTTTAGCACATTTATTTAATCATGTCATGAAACAGTGGGAAAACGCTTTCCTTAAGAAACTAAGTTTATTCTAATTTTACAGCTTTGGGAAGGCTTAAGGGTTTAAAGTTTTAAAAGTAGAAAGTTTTATTTTTACCTAAAATGATACTTTGCAGGCACTTCCAGGCAGTTATTCTAGCTATATCCAGCAGGTGGTCATCTGAATGAGGAGATATTGACTCCACTATGTGGAGGGTCTAAGTTGCCTCAATCCAATGAATGCAAAAATGCTCCTTGGCACTAAATTTGGTTTTTAGAATGTCTGTTCTGGACATTAATGCATTTGTGGGATGAGCTAAAGTTTAATCTCTGTGCTGCTCAAGAAAAACATTTAATTTCCTCTCTGCATAGAGGTGAGAGCAGAGTGGGTCTGTTCTGAAGGCTGCAAGTATTTCCAAAATCCCACAGCCTGCCATTCTGGGTCAGAAAAAGACACCGTGTTGTTTACTGGACGCCCCAAGCCCACTAATTTTATTTTATTTTTTTTGCCCTTTTACTACCTTTGCACTGGTTAAGTGGTGTACTGCCCACTGTATTATCAAAGAAATCTGTACCAGTGTCAGCATTAAGTATTAATACCTGCAACACTTGTTGAGGCTTGTCTATGGAGACCTGCCTCAACGTAGATTGTTTTAATAGGCAAATCTCTTCCTTAACCCTTAATGCGTTTTCAATGCAAATGCGGCACCAATTACACAGAACTAAACATTTATTTATATTCCAGAAGAGGAGGAATGCCTGGTATTGATTCCAGCTTCAGGTTAACCAATCAGATAGTGGCATCTATTAGACAAGCCACAATCCCAGTTTAAAATACCTTGGGTCCACAATAGGGCTGAAACTGATTATTTTGCTAACTGATTAATCTGTAGATAATTTGTTCATTATTAATAATCAGAAAGCAAAAAGGCGCTTTAAAGATTTTATATAGAAATAAAGTTAAATCTTTATCACTCGAGTTCTGGGTAGAGCTTATTCAAAAATGCAAACAGTTTGTTTTGTACAATTTCAGCATAGTTAATACTTTGAGTAGCTTTTTCAGCTAATGGGATGTGAGTCTGTATAATCCTATTAACAATTCATCTATTACTAAATTAGTTTATTATTTTCAATCTTCTATTATTTTGATTAATTGTTTCAGCCTTACAGCAAAACATGACTTAGTTCAGTAAATAAGGAAATGATTTAAAGGATAAAAATAATCTAAATATTTAGGAAGGAAAATAATCTCAGTAATCAGACTACTCTGCTCTTTAGATATTATTTCATTCATGATCTTTGGTACTAATATTGCAAACTAGTTTTTTTTATATGTAGGATGCTTTTTGATATCATTCAATATCCTTCTGGGATTCATTTGAAATATTTTAATAGTTATTTTAACAATTACACCAGCTCTGCTAGATGGCTCCTTGCAGTCCAACCAACCATCCAGATCGCCAACAAGGTCTCCGAAGCTCCAGGGGGAAACCGACCCGAATAAGCTCACGCCAGCTCGCCTGACGGGGCGCCACTTCCTGGGTAGAAGGGAGGCGGATTCCATCTGCATGGTGTGTTCCCAGCGAAGGAAGAGAAAGCTGGATGAAGAGGAGGCGGGTCGGAAGAAGCAGAAGATGGAGGGTGACGGCGGTGATGAGCCAGAGGAGGAGCGTCACAATTCTGATGGCGAGAAGTCTGAAATAGACTGTGGCAGAATGGAGAGACAGACACAGTTTTACTGTAAGACATGTAGTGAAGAGCCCAGCCTTTGCCCTGTGCCTTGTTTTGAACTATACCACACAGAACCTAACTACGAAGCGCCAGGTGAGCCTACTGAGTAACCAAAAGACTGTAACTTACACCAATAAACCTGTTTTAAAGCTTATTGATGCCGTTTTCATGTGCTGTCTTCAGTAGTGGGAATACATACTGACTTCTGTCAGGGGTTGAGTTTGTTTCTCTCTGCAGCTTCCTGATCTGCTGCTTTCAGAAGCCTTCCTCCTGCGCTGAAAACTGCATCTTTAAATATTCCAGTTTTCACACTACTCAGTCTGTACTGATCCCAAATCACAGTGTAGGCCTGTTTTTTTTTTTCCTTCATCTTAAATATATTTTATTTATAAATACAGGGATCCTACAGTTTTGGAAAATGAGGAATGTATTTGTTCATTTTTTGCAAAATTCTGCAGTTTGCAGAATTTTTTCCTCATGACGCCTCATTGAAAATATGACCAACAAATTTACTAAAAAAAAAAAAAGGTAATTTGATAAACTGGTCATACATAATGGGAATTTTGAAGCCAGTTAGAAAAATAACCTAATAGAAACATTTTGATGGGATTTTCCTCAGCATTGTGGACTGACTGAAAGTAGACATTCTTTAATATAACACAAATATAGCATAAATGATGGGTTATCTTTTCATTCCTTGTGTCGTTACACTTGATAGTATATTAATGATGTATTATATAGCATGTAAAATTGCAATAAAAAGCTTACAATATAGATGTGAGCCAATTTAACAATTCTCTCATTTTTTTTAAGCCATTAAATTTGAATGCATCACTGGAACGATTTGCAACAGAGATCCAAACCAGATGCTGTTGGTGTAAAATCAGCTGGAGATCTTCCAGCATTTGTGTCCTGGAGAGGCTGCAAATATTGCTGCTTTGAAACTCTTTGGATTCCTGAGGAAAAGCTTTCCTGAAAATGAGAACTTTCCAGAGTGTAGGACAACAAAAGGATATAAGGAATCCAGCCCTAATCAAATGCATCACTGTTAAAGATGTGAAAGAAGGATTTTAAAGCTAAAGATTTAGAATCCTGTTTTATAGGGCTTAAAATGCTACAATATTTGCAGCAACAGATCTTAAGAATTGAACCATCATCACTATAAAGAAGTGTTGGATCTTGCCACCTTAATATTGAATTGTCAAACCATTTGCAATGCAAGGCTTAGTGAGATCTCATTTGTGATAAAGGTTTGCAGTAAAGTTTGATTAGTACAGCAGATTATACCAGTATTAAAACATTGACCAAATTTAACAATTAGGTTTTGGGAGGAAATCATCTTGGGAAATTATTAGATCTAATAAAGATTTTTCAGTGTAACAAAATTATGTTAATCCATTTTGACTGCTGATCTCACAAAACGTCATACTCTTTCACCAGAATGAGCTCATCGTATTCTGATATAAAGGATCAGAACAATAGAATTTTATCCTTACCAATTATCACCACAAAACCTTTGAAGATAATGAGAAAAATAAATTAGTTGTATGCTCAAGAAATAATATACGCAAGAGAACAGTTAGGTTTCTAGACAGTCAAATAATTTCTATTCCCATTTGTTTTATAGTATACACATAAATATTCATACTTTGGCAGTAAATCATTGCTTTATAAAGTGGGTTTTTGCACAGATGTAGAGCTTTATTGTTTTGTTCCTCACTTCTACTGAACCCCTAACTGTGTGAAAGCTGTAGAAGCTCCCATCATTTGTATTTATTAGGACACTTTTCTCTGTAAAATCTTGAGTTCTGAAATGAAAAGCATATGTAGGAACCCTGTTATTAAGTTTGCAGTATTTGGTCTCCACTCTGCTTGGGACAGGATCTCCATGGTTCGCTGTATTGTAAGCATAGTTTTTATTAACATTTAACGGTTGAGGGCGAAATACTTGAAGGGCTTCCCAGATTCTCAGAGCCTACTGTAAGATATAATAAATTGAATACCTCATGAAAATGTCTGAACACATCAACACTTCAAATGTCTGTTATGGTGCATTGTCAGCTCTTACTTATTTTATGTCATCCTTTAAGTGCACACATTTAAAAATTATTACATGTGTCCTTTAAAAAGGGCAACTTTATTTTAATTCAGGTTTTTGTGAGCTTTTTTTTTTTTGTTTCATCCAGTTGTTTGCCCTGTGCCATGTTTATTTTCTGAGAACTATTTAAGTGTTAAATTGGTTCCCTGTCATGCTTAACACTAATGTATAGTGAGCTTTGCTGAATTTTACAGAAAATGAATCATGGGCTTGTATGTGGAATTGTTTTTTTCATCCATAATCCATGTCTTCAGTTACGAATGAATCCCAACTGGGAGATTGTGTAATCTGAGCTGGAACCGAAAAGTTTGAAGTTGTGCATCAAACACAGACTGTCACCTGTAATTTAAAGTCAAGTTCTTGCTAAAGTTGATGTGCTTCTGTTGTTACATTATGACCATTCAAGTTACAGGGAAGTCTTTGCAGCACCTTCCCACTAATGCATCAGAATTCACTCCAGCTTTGTATTCAAATGGTAAAGTTTACTTTTGACATCAAATCTGTTAGCTGGGGACTTGTTCCTAAGTGAATAATAAAAAAAATGTTTAAATAGTCTCAATAAATTGTTTTTGAAAAAAAAAAGTGTCCATTTTTAGTTTTAACTATAATTTTACTATAGAAATTATTTAACATTAATTTTAAGTAACGGGTGAATAAAAGGAAATCTGGCATCCCAAAGTGGATAAGTATAAAGAGCGACATCAGCTGGCTAAATAAAATTATTGCATTTTAGTTGATTTAAATTGATTTCAATTAAAGTGCAACACATTTAAAGCAAGAAATTATGTAAAAAAAAAAAAAAAAAAAAACTTAAATTCTAAGTTTAATTAAGGCTTGTTAGTCAAAATAAAACTTACATTTTAATATGTTTAATTGAATTGCTTTTAAATTAAGGTTGAAATATTTTTTTTATATTTTTACACTAACATTTTGTTATTTTTTAATGGTGATCATTTTAAAGCTATAGTGTGTAATATTTACAGGGATATACAGTCAGAAATGTAATATATTATACATAACTATGTTATTTATCATCATCATCTACGAGCTCAGCCTCTTAACCTTAATATTTGCGTTGCCTTAGAATTCGTTATTTATAATTACATAGGAGCGGGTCTCGCAGCCATGGAGGCAGACATCTTTGCGCTACGGCAGCGCAGAGCCAACAAACTAAACGTCACAACGATGTAGAAAAAATAATGGGTATATTTACTATCTTAAGTCTACATGAAATCTATACCCTACACAGACTAATGAAATACTATCTGTAAAATTATCTATGTAAACAAACCTCATCACTTGAGAAGGTAGGTGATGCAGACGTCGTGGAAGACATTTTGTCCCGTAACGCTCGCCGTACTGTTGTGGGGAGAAGCGGTGGGGGGGAGATGTTCATGTTGCTGCAGTCTGCAGTCTGACCGCTAGATGTCGCTAAAAGTTACACACTGTAGCTTTAAGTTGCTTGAAGTTATTGATTACATGTAAGATCAATGCATGCAGTTTTATAAATATCAACTAATCGTCCTCTTTTTCTCTTTACCCTTATTTTAACTACCAGGTGTAAGAAAAGCATTAAGGTGTTAATGGTTCCAGTGCCTATGAACATGTACTTCCAGTACATGTTACATTAATGATACCCATGCTGGTATGTGACTTTTTCACTTTGATGAAATAGAGTACCAGGTGTTATGACTGAGACTCTGGAGCTGGAATTTTCCTCTTCTTCCAGATTCCGGTGCTGATTGCAACTGCTATGCAAGGTTGTTAAACAAGCCGCTGCACAGATAGAAAAGAGGGAAAACAAGAAAATGAATCTGCTTTCAGTAAAGTATAGACATTTTAGGGTTTAGGATTTTTATCCAGATCACTTTATAAGTACATCCAATAAAGAAGTGTGTTTTGTAGGTGGACCATGACTGGAAATCAGAAGAATAAACATCACTGCTAAAAGCATGTCTGTTATTAAAACCTTTAGAAAAGAAATTAAAATAATCTATTGATGTAAGCTAAATGATCATAAATGTTATTTATGATCATAGAATATAAACTTGTAGCTTACATTAATAGATTAGACGAAATTCAATATCTGCATTTAACCCATCCCTTTTGGTAGCAGTGGGCTGCCATTTGCGGCGCCCGGGGAGCGATGTGGGGTTAAGAGTCTCTTTTGCTTATGGACCCAGAAAAAAAACTGTGAATGGGTTTTTGAACTCACAACCTCAGTGTTGAAGCTCTATGCCTTTTTACTAGGCCACTACCAAGACTGAAGTTTTCAATCATACAAAGCAAACATGATTTGGTCACACAGCAGCACAGACTACTCTTCTGCTTCAGGCAGATAGGACAAAAGGACAGAACCAGCGGATCATGAGTGTGACAACCAACGTGAGACCGCTGAATCTTTCATCAAACTACCTGCTGCACCAAAGATCGGCCTCCCTCTTCACCTATGCTTAATCTGAACGCTGACCTCCGACCTGGTGAGTTATCAAATCATGCATGATTATGAACATAACCCTATTTCAAAACAATTGATTCAGGTATAAAAACTATTTTTTGTTGTTTTTGCTCACAGAATCAACAGGTCAGGATTCGTCTGTTCCTCATCAAGCTGTGAAAAGATCCAGAGTGGGTTCCAAATGGAGAAAACGGGTGCCATACTGCACTTTTAGATGCATCAGCAGTTTAAACTTCAGAATATCTTGTCTTACCCAAATATGTTTATGTTTCCTTAACAATCCACTTTGCTGGAAACTTAAAGTGCTGTACCCAGTTGATTCACTATTTTATGTTTTGTTTTTTTTTTGGCACCAGGTGAATAGGACTTTGTACTTACTGCAGAGCAAATCTGAATATCTCTGTGAGGACCTAGTTTGCCTGCATTTGAATTAGGCTTTTTGCATGAAGTTAGGGTAGATACGCCAAATGATTGTGTGTGTGTGTCAAAGGGCAAAACCGCTGTAATTTACAAAGAGAAGAGACGTTTTGCAACATTCCCTTTCATACTTTTTTTTTTTGTTTTTTTTTGTTTTTTTGTTTAAAGATAGGAGGTTTTAGTTTGTCATAATTTACTTCAACTAAAATCGTCAAATTTATAGGAGGAAAAGAAAAATCAACAAAACTCAGGTTTTATTCTGCCAACACTTTGGTAACACCACGGTAAACTTTGATAACCTCAGAAGAACACATATCTGCAGAGTTGGAAACAACTTTACTCCATATACTTCTGAGACATCAGACACTTTTTGAAGCAATGAATTTATGTATATGGTTGGTTTATGATCTGAGGAAAACGAAGATGGACAAAAAAATAGATTTTCCAACTTCTGAATGATATTAATTTATTAATTTAAATAAATTGGCAGGGAATATCTCTTCTCTTATATTTGAGAGGACAGAGTCATGGGGTGGGGCACCGCATAGAGTTCA